TCCAAGCCTCCTTTAGATTTATTTATTGAGTAAACATCCATCTTCACGTGTGCATCCTCTTCTTGCATACTTTGAGTGGAGTGGATTTCCTCCATATAAATAATGCTAATATCCCCGATTAAACATGATTTACGACCTGAAACGTCACCCACGACTGGAATACACAATTTTCATAATTACTGCCAAGGACGCATGTTTAATCACCTGAATCATGATGGTTTTTCACAGAAATGTACCTAGAATTAGCATATTACGAACTTTACGAATAAAAATCGCGTATCTTGCTTGAAGTAAGTTTTTTAACGAAAAACAGGAGCTGGTCAACGCAGGCAGGGCACTTTTTGATTAAAATTTATTTATTTCTTTAAAAAAATTACTGACTGATCAACCCCAAGTTTCAGAAAATGTTGGAGGAATGTTAATAACTTCATCAACTTTGCACATTAGGCATTGTGTCCACTTGTTCGTCGGAGCAGGATAATGTCCAATATTTATTATACTTCATAACGCGTAATTCACATGTACACACACTTAATTTAATGTGTATGAGGCATTTGTGTGATTATCTATGAACAAGAATGAGGCTTTATTCGAGCTGGTTGGTGCAGTGCTACAGAATAAACAAGATAAGATGAAAAAATAATAAGAAGAAGAAGCAATCCACCACAACATAATTTTCGAAAGAGCAGATTTTACAAGTTCTACTGAAAATTCCCCAATGTACATATTTTCTCACATCTCTTCAAGTGGATACCTCATTATGCAAATAAGTGAAAATAAATAATTTTAATCTAGTAAACCATCCAGATTTAAGAAGCAGTGGATAATTCTCTTCTTCTCTTTAATCCCCGTTTGTTATTTCACTGCCTGCTATGACTAATTTCAAATTACACGAAAAACACGAAAAGTTTCAGGAATGTGAGGGCACTCACTCGTCTCAATTACTCAACAAATTACGAAAAGAATTTTAAAGGATTCCCACAATTTGCAGCAATTTGAATGCATTGACCACCAACTAATCAAGTTGGGAGGAGAATACTTGATGCCAATAACAAATTATAGGGAACATGCTCAAAGGGCTGGAGAAATAAGCGAGCAATTATGTCCAATTTGCAATTGGATGATATGATTTCACAATGTTGAGCGAGGCGGAGGCAAAAAGGCTGGCTTGCATCCATTGCAAGTTGTTCAGCGAAAAGTTGATGGAGATTTGCTCGAGTGGTGGATCAACTTGCATTATAATTCACGGGTCAAGTTAGCAAAAAAAAACAAGATGTTATTAAATTGAAAGCAATATGTCCATCAGATCAGAACAGAACTCCACCAGCATTCGTACATAAATGTCGGTTTTGGTTAAAAGTTGGTTCATCAAGGTTGGAAGTATAATGCACATTGTTGCCAGCAGCATCACTTTGCATTCTGCTGGTGTATTGGTTTTAAATGTGGATACTTCAAAGGTCTAGTTTTTCTTGATTTATTGGCCACGACCACTCCTATTGGCAAAAGTTCAGGGAAACGTCCATTGCCAATCAATAATCCCGTATCCTTCCTCTTCCCCTACGTATAGATGTAGGAGTCGTGTTAAATATGATGTTTGTACATATTCTCGAGAATAAAACGCTTATATCATCATATTTCTAAATATATTCGTGCTTTGTGGGGACTTATCCCAACCGGATCACCACGTTTCTAAAAATAAGACTGGTGCGTTTCTTTCTAATAATTATATGAGCCACGCATAAGCGTTTGTTGCCTGTCAGTCGCAACGTTTGGGGGAGGTTCTCGTTCCCAATTTCAATAAATATTTACAAGTTTCCAGAAAACTCCCTTAGAATTCTATACGACGCAATTGTTGGCATCGTATACATTTACAAAAGTATGCTTTGCATGATGAAAACAAAGAGTGTTTCTTCAAGTCAGATTTTCCTTTGGTTGAAATATCATCATCATCGCTCCTGGCTGGACAGGAACGAAAGAGGTTGCGAGATGAGATTAGTTCGAGGCGTAATCAACAAGATGAACTCCATCACCAGTCAATCCAGCTCAACTTTAGCTTTAATTGCATGCTACAAAAAGACTCCGTCGTCGCCACCGCTTTCATGCTTTGCTACCTGATCATGATCCTCTCATCCTCCTCGCACTCAAAATCTCTGTACGAGTGCACAAATCGTCTTGCATGCAAAATTAAACAAGCCATGTAGAAAAAAAAACTTTACAATGTGCTCAAATATGCATGAATGAGGGTGCTGGTGGGTGATTAAATAAGTGAGTGGAATTAACAGGGGTACAATTTTCGCACCCTCTAAAACTTCTGTACTACTGCGTTCATGTCCGTCCGTCTGTCTGTGAGAAGCTCTAGAGAGCCACCTGTAATGAGATAGGAGACAGGCAGGCAGAGATTCGCCATTGCCGTTCGCTATGTGACGAGCTTGAGAACTCTGATTTCCCTCTCCTCAAGAGAATCAAAGACAAGTAATAATTTGTTCTTCTTTTATAACAACTAATTAAAGATAAAATGCAATAAACTTTGATAGCGCATGCATGCAAACCAGGATTTGACTTTGAACGAGAGTTTGTTAGCAGATAAGATATTGCAGTACAACTTTTTTGTCGGACGGACGGACGACGACGACGAATTGATTGTTATTCTGCAGTGAATGCTCTTTATCGTCGTCATAACCGTAACTAAATTCAACTTTGGAAATTAACATTCGAGGCTTCCTCCCTTGCGGATAACATAAATGCTCGCAGATGATGACAAGAATAATATTGCGACCAAAAATCTAATGGGACGCTGAGCGATGTGATGTGATGTGTGCGGATGGAAGGAAAAGGGCAAGAATCGCAGTAAAAGCCCAACTTATATGCCGCAAGAGTCTGACTTATGATCGCCGGGGTGTTCCATCCAAGTCATTGACCATACGTATGCATAAAGATGATCCTTAAAATAAATTGACGTTCATCATGTCCTTCAATTCATTTAACTGCGTTGACATTCCATTCCACGGAATCAAAATAAAAAACAAAGGATTTTTATTAACAAGCAAGACCGGTTTGATTGACATAAACTTTTATTGTCAAATGTGTTTTGTGGAACACAACAACTGGACAAAGAAAGACCATCGTCGGTGCAAAAGTGGACTTTTTTTTACTTTGAAATGGATCATTTCAAGTTGCTGACGTGGGTTCGTCTTCTTCTAATCAAACCTGTTACCCAAGAATGACATTGTTTGATCTCTGCACTTGTAATTGGCTTAATGTTCGCCGAATGAATTTAGTATTTAATTAATTACGGCTGACAAAGTTCAGACGATAATTTCTAGTATAGAAAACATTATCCAAAATCTTCGAAGATCCAGGGCTCTCATAATATATTCCTCATGGTTTGTGGTGGAAATGGAGAGAATTTGTGCAGTAAATAATACAAGTAGTCATCCAGCAGGAAAGAAAATGTATCCTTTTATCGCATGATAATAATAATAATTCAATCTTACCGGATTCCAAGACGTGTATCAAGCTAGTGATTAAATTCTCAAAAATCAAAGATAAAATCAAATCAAACCTTGCATCCAATTTCTTTTCCAAACAATCAGCCAATAAACCGTTACAACGCATGTAACCAAGGGGTGAAAGGAGTGTCATACGTCAATGTGAATATCAAATTGTTCGAAAATTTGTTAAGATTGACACTTCTGACGTGTTTTCGACTTTTGTGACTTATTTGTGTCAAATTTAACAGTTGATAACCCTTATGTGACCTTTATATGACCTCTGAGGTCAAAATGGAGGTCACCATTGAATTCGGGGTTAAATTTCAGTTGAAATTGAAATAGATATGTCCTATGACCTTTACATGACCTCTGAGGTCAAAATGGAGGTCACCATTGAATTTGACATTGAAAAATAGTTAAAAATGACGTGTCACATGTCAAAACTGACAAGTGACACTTTTTCGTCACTTTTCGTCACCGTGACGATGTCATCGTCACAGGTGACGTCCAAACACAAAATGACATGAATTTTCGAATTCCTCATTGAAAAATAGTTAAAAATGATGTGTCACATGTCAAAACTGACAAGTGACACTTTTTCGTCACTTTTCGTCACTGTGACGATGTCATCGTCACAGGGGACGTCGTCAAAGTGTCCATCTTCGAACTTGTCCTGTCCCTTGACGTTAGGAGTTAACGTTCAAAATTTCAAGTCTCTATGTCTTTCCGTTCAAAAGTTATCGGAGCTACGGACAGACAGACGGACGGACGGACGGACGGACGGACGGACAGACAGACGGACATAACGATCTTATAAAGGGCTTTCACCCCTTAATAATGCTAATGAATAGACTGGCAAGTGGTAATTGGAGACTGACTTGAGATTCCTGGATGGAGGAGGATGAGTACACAACAAAGGCAACAATGTTACCTTTCGATGTGGTTAATGAGTTTTCCATCTCGTTTGCTTGAGACTTGTTCATCAGGACATTTAGTTATTTACTCATGACTTGCATGCGTTGCCCTTTCCACCGTTTCAAAACATGGCAAAGTACTTGTTTACACTACGTGCTTGCTGCCAATGGGAAGGTCATCGTATCTTTGTCGAAAAAAATATATATGCGTAAGAAATGGTCGTCCGCCATCCACCCATAAATAAATCAAAGTGACAGCAATAAAATGAAACGAGAACTATAAAAATTGGTGGCCAATCGTGTCATTTTGGCGAATAGTTGGTTTATTGTAGGAGGGAAACAGACAGACAGACAAGTCAGACAACATGACGAAATGCACTTTTCTGTGACAACTTGTCCTTTTGCAGAGGTGTGGCTGAGACAATTAACTAATTGTTGTGTCTGTCATGGGTGCTAACAAATTTACGTTGGCGTATGTGGGAATTTCAACGATGAAACTGTAACAAATCACCTTCATCATCTTGCACGTACAATGTATTAGCTGAAAAATAGACCTAAATCAACTCATCACTTATTCATTATTTGGCTTTTTAAGGTTGAGAGTGCTGTCTGAACATGAAGATCCTATAAACTGAGCGCATAACAACGAGTGCATCCAAAAATGAGCGGAGTTACACCCCCACAACCCATCGCAGACTTTCCAGACCACCCTTACGTCCGAAATGAGGACATTATCCGTCCCAAACCAAGAAGGTAACAAACAGACTTTTGTACTATTTATTTTTCTATGTGTATTTACATTGATTGCGGTGGATTTTAATTGGTGCCACGAATGCACCTGTCGCTATTTATAGAAATCTGTACGAATTCTAACACGTAGATTTCATTTCATTTCATAAGCAACATTGCTGCTCACAATAATCTTAATTCCTGTCGTTCATTAATCAATGTCAAACCGTAATGTTTGAATTATTTGTAATTATCATTTCATCTTATGTATTCCACGCTCCACCCTCGTGGTTGGTGCGAAGAAGCAATTAGCCCAGAATTCCTGTACCAATTACTCTCATTAGTTATCATCAGTGCAAAATTGTCCATTAAAGGACGGGTTGTTTATGAACATTGAAAAGGAAACGATAACCATGGGAGGTCGGCCAGGAGGAGGATACAGCGATTCAAATTCCACAAGACACACAATGCGCCAAGAATTTGATAATTATGTTGATATTCTTGTCTTCATTTTAATTGTTTTGCTAATTTCTTCATATCTCGAATTGCTATCTCAAATTAAACTACTTTTGTTGTTTTAATGTCTCCATATTTATTTTATTGGGTCGATTTCAACCGTGGCTGAGAAAATATGGGGCTAATCTTCATTAGTGAAAGTTCCTTTGACGAGAAACTCTGGGTTAATTTTCATGCTTAGACAATTTTACGGCAAGAATAAGTCTGCATATTAACAATTTATTGTTAATCACAGGGAAAACAGATTAGTGCACGTTTGCAGATGTGGTGACGAATTTGGCATCAAAAATAAATTATCCATTGTTCAGCCGATTTAGCCTGTATGCATGTACATATGTACATACTCGTAGATGCAATTATGCACATGTACATAGCTGGCTATTGATAGGAGTGAGTTCACGGGGAGGGCTTGGAATAATGATTATTCGAGTGATTGAACTTGAGGCATTGATACGTGATACCCATTGTGCGAACATTATTTAAGCGAAATCACTCAAACTTATTATTTGCATGTTGTAGCCATAACCATAACTGAAAGGCATAGGATACTCGTTTACCAAGTATACGCATAGGAGGGTATCGGGTAATTATTGGGTTATTAACTTCTAATGAGCTGTTGTTCCCCCTGTACAACTGTAAAGCCAATGCAAAACAGTGATCAAGTGCTGATCGTCGTAAAAGGATTCACCCATTGATTCATAGGAATACATTGTTGTCGTGCATACGACAATATCTTACTACACATCACGCTCTTGCTGTTTTTGGGTGCAGTGATCAATTTAGATGCAGACCGGGTGTGAAATATCTGAGCAGTACATAAATATCTGGATTTTAGACATTGGGTAGCTACTCGCTCACTAAGAAATTGTTTAATCTATTGATAGTCCTGTTCGAAGTCGGGTTTAAGCACTTTACTACAGATTTACATGCAAAAATGGGCAGCGAGTAATTATACAAGTGTAGATACGTACGTGTGTAGAGGTTGACCTTTGCTGGGGCGGTGGTTTTTTAAAAAATTAACCTCGAAACCAAACCCAACCCATTGAATTCCTTTGATATTTATTTCATGCTTATTTTTATTAAGATTTCTAAAACCTTAGGTTAGAGTATTTAAATCTATGAGATGATTGTCAGCTACTAAAATTAAATTGGTTACATTTTGTAACACTTGATAGCATCACTCATAGCGTGAGTGTATGTAAATAAAGTTTGAATAGTACAAAGCTCGCTGCATATTTAAGCAAGTATCTCGAATACATGGACCTATTGTCACTTGAGTCATGGGCGAATTCTCAAGTTTTTGTGATAGCATCTCGGCTGATGACACTTTCGATTTGGGATTTAAATGCGAAATGAAAAGTGACGTGGTGAACAACCACCCCGGTATCGTGCACATGTATTTCTTTCGTTTGGTGTCGAATTTCTTGTCTGACAACAATTGCTGCCAAGACTTGGTCCGATAATGTCCAATTATCTCGCTAAATAAATGTAAAAGTGACGAAAACGTGGTTCACCAAATGTGTGACAAGTGACAATTATTGACATCTCGAGAAATGAGGCATCATCGTATGCATAGACGCATACGCATTTCAATTTCATGTAATTCGATCCCAAAAGTATTCAGTCATTCCTTCCGTGGGTGGTTCGAAGCGGAATTATTTTATTGATCAAGTGTGACTGCAATGATAAATAAGTGATTTTATTAGCGTCGAGACGATTGCAATTATGATTAAATTTGTGCGTGGCTCGCGTTATTTGCATTTTGCATATAAAAAATTTACATTTATTGCCAGTTTCCGCCAACTTTTTTTGTGTCGACATCACACTTTCCTGATTTAAAAAATGTGGATGTAAAGCTTTAACTGCATTCCCGTTAAGAAATATTTTTATTTTTCTCTCATTCCTTCATCATGTGCATTATGCATCATTGTCAGAAAAATGTGAAGTTATTATTGTCCCTATAAAATGAGATATAAAGTCGTAAATATGACATTTATGGCAAATGAAGTAAACCTGAGTAAACAAGCTGACAATTCTTGAACTATTAAAATGCACAATTAGTATTTCTCTCTGGTGTAATAAAAATTTGAATGCTCTTTTGAACTCTGATCTTTGCGAGAATCAATGTAATCAGGAATTTAGATCTTGGTTTTACATTTCACAGTTACGGTTTACAACCTACTTAATTGAATACCAATGATTTTTTTAAAAAGAAGTTACCATACATAATTCTGGTACAATACTTGGCTTGAAAATTGTGAGCACAACATTCATTATGTCCTTTCATGGAATCAGCAACATTAAATAAATAAGATACTTACATAAATAAGTAAATCAGTAAAAAAAGAAAATAATTTTTTACGATAGTGACGTGAACCTGAATCGATTCCGTTATTCTTCACTTTTACATTTGTTTTGTAAATGACCATTTTTCAAGTCCACTTAATTAAATTGTTATGTAATGTAACTGTGCATGTGTTGAACTAAATGGAGCCATGTCTTTCTCTTGATTCGTGTTGAAATTTCGTGACTCTGTTGTCCTTGTATCCTTCCTCCTCCCATTGTCCTTACGATTCATGCCATGCAAGAACGTCCTTCCGTCTGTGAAACCGTTCAGAGGAATCGTCTGAATTATGTGAGCTCGGAGAGTGCAGCCGATTAGACGAACTGGTCAGTCACGACGAGGCCATTCAATATTGCTGAATGTGCAAAATATGATTATTGGATTTTAAGAAAAGTTGAACGACGACCGAGCTCATTACTGCGCGTGTTAAGGGACATCATTCAAATTCAAACCTAATTATCACGTTCGTTCGACTGACGCTTGTTCAGAATCGAGAGAATCGGAGACGTGTAATCTTATTAAAAAGTGTACCAGGCTGAAGTTGGTCTTGATTGCATTCCATTTTACAAGAGTTCAGATCATCTTCGGATCGCATACGTATAAAACTGGTATTCTCTACCACCGGTCAGTTGGTTCTGCATACATAGCATGAAGCGTAGCTAATACATATGTATGCAAGTATTCTAGCCAATTCTCATTACTATGCAAATATTTATGGTGTGTAATTCAGTCCAATTCCAATTCACCATTTTTTTATCTATAAGTGACCCAGAGTGGAAGAGCCGAGAGGGCTGAAGTCGCAGACTGATTGACCCCGCCATGTCAATTCCTAGCAGTCACAACAATCAACAAGAGACGATTTTGCATACAAAGTTGACTTTGTTTATTACTCTGCATAGTTTTAATTGTTTTTTTTTTAAGAATACGATCCTTAGAGTCCCGCATGTGAGTATTTTGACTGATTGGAGCTACGTCCACGGTCTGGTTGAAGGTTAGGTCTGGGAGGTTGAGGTCGCCTGTCAAGTCTGTTTGAGTTTGCAGACTGCGTCGATGAACTGAGACAATGGCCAAGTAATTATCTCCTCTTCGGAGAAGTGTTATTAAAATGATGAAAGTTCACCCATCAGAATGTAAATGTGGTTACAGTGTGGTGGCCGCTTCGGTAGGCATCTCATCAGTTTCTTACTTCCTTGACTTACGGAATAGGACGACTTGCATGGTCACTGCAATAATGCAATATATGTATTTATGCTGATGTACATATAAACCATGCAATCATGCAAAACATGACTAGCAATTTTGCAAAGTCGAGTTATTTCTTTTTCAGTCAAACCTCTTTTCAAGCAGGTGTTAAGAGCCACTTGGTTGGACTATTATATCATTTTCTGACTAAAAACGTGTAATTTCAATAATCTGGGACAGGTGAAGGCGTTGGTTTTCCGAATTTTATACAGAAAATTGTGATAAACCCAACTATTCAGATGCAATTATGGAACTGGTTCAAATCTCGTAACTGCTTAAGTAGTTACCTATTTATTTGCATGCTGTTTGAATGAATTCCATTTTGTCCAGTATTTCAATAGGCCAATTGGTTTGTCCATCACCCTTTCTGCAGGTGTCAAATTAGATGTCAGTCGAGCAATTTGCATTCTTCACTTTTTTATCATATCGGGCAAACATGTTATTAATTTAACGATGGAACTGGAGATCTTGAACAAATATGCAAAATACTTTAAATGTGCTAGATCTTCATCTTTATGACGGCGTGTCGTGTTATCCTGCCACATACATTCATTGGCGTCCATTTTCTTTACAATGGGACATGTTTTGCACGGCTTAATTTACTTTAGTGGAAATAATAATTTCCTACTTTTCTATTCTAATTACCGCTCGGCGAATAATTTATAACTTGTTGTTTGTTCATCGATAAAAGATTAAATTGTCGTTACAATTTTTATTAGGCACGCTTACAACATGGTTTATTAGCGGTAACTAAAAGTCGTATCTGCCAAATGGCTCAAAGAAACGGGCAAGTGTATAGCATGACACGAGTAAGAATGCCACACGTACATCCGGTTTGGTACTGTGGCACTCCTTTAATTGCAGCACAAAGGGAAGTAGTCAGGCCGTGGCTGGTAAAAATGGTGAAGAATTTTAAGAATGTTCCTACCAAAGGTAAATGATACACTACATAAGCCTCACATTGGTCATATGGTAGTTCTTCACTTGTGTTATTGGTCACAGGGAAAAAATCATTCAAAAAACGGGTAATTAAGTGAGCTTTGTTTTATGTGCACTTGACGATTGTGCAGGAGAGCAACGCAAGTATTATGACCAAAGTGGATTACGAAGATGGTGGAGCATATGCAGATATTGCAATTTTGCAGTGCACAGAAAAACGAGTGGCTTGAGGGCTTTCTCTCGCCACCGGTAGCAGAAGCAATTATAATATTCACAGGCAGAGCAGTGCTAGAATCATCCGGGGTACTTACATACTTATCAACAATACACATGTACCATTCATACAACAACACAACCAACCAGCCCTAATTTGGATGGGAATCACTTTGTATAATTTACGACATATTTTATTAGAGAAAATGCAGATTAGTTTGGTTGTGTGGGGGCGTGTTCACTTTTTGTAATTACTTTATGATGTGGTTTTTGTGCAAAGAAAAACAGGAGACAGCTCGGACGAGATACGGTATTAAATACTTACAACGAGGCCTTTGGGAAGTTTAGCAACTCATTTCTTTTCTGAGGAAGGTAATTAGTTGAAATTTGCGCTATCAGTGTCTTATGATTATTAATATTGTTTCATTTATTCGCGTCGTTGATTTGATATTCCCTCAGTCGCTGCACATTTTTGAAGCTTAACACAACGCGTATTCTATTTATTTAGAGGATAGCATTATGTGAATTTATCTTGTATCGAGGTTCCATCCATGCAAAATATTTGGTAGCTTGCGTTTTCCAATAATAACTTGAGTATAATTAAGAATGGCAACACCATCAGAGCATTCGCCGATCCTGAGATTGGTCAGGTACAAAAGAATAAAAATAATTGATTGAACACGAGAATTCGCGAGGTGTGAGTTGGTGTTCGAGGTGTGAATGGAACCCATCGAATTTTATGAGCTATAAATAATTGCAACGACCGTGTTTAATTTTTAAATTAATTTTCAGACTCGTGGACATGCGAAGATCTGCCCTGGGACCTGATTTGTCTTTGCAATTTTCCTCACCCGGAGCTTCATCCCCCAAAATGGAGGGCCTTGGACCGCACAATAATAATCTAAGTTTATTATCCTCCTCATCACACGCTTTCGTGGCTCAATTGCCACCCATTCTCCCTGCAAAGCCGTTTGGAAACGCGGGAGGACATTTCACGCCGTTGGGACACCACACAGAGTCGTCCTCAGCGTCGCTTCAGAACACTTCTCAACAACAACTGCTCGGGAAATCCTTGCTGAATCGAGCAGCCAACACCAACAGTACAGGACTAATCATGTCCTCCAAATTGAACAATCACCAACAACGACCTCAATCAGAGTCCCCACTTTATCTTCATATGGCGCAAAACCAACACCTGAATCAACAAGTGTCCCCCTCCTACAACAAATCATTCGGTCTGATGAAAGGGTTCGGTCTGAATCAGAGGTCAGTGCCCAATTTGCCCCAGTTGTTGCAACCCCTGAGTCTCAACAACAACAATATGTACACCCCCACACCCACTCCGGGACACCAACAACCAGCCAGAGGTGGCCAAGGGCTGAACAATGTGAACTCCCCACAACGACGACTCTTTCTCTCCCCACAACCCAACGAGACGAGTCCTCGGTGCAGGATACCCGTCAGCTCCTCCACCACGTTTGGGGGCAGCAGTGGGAACATTTTGAATGACGCCGAGGACGACGATGGGAACATGCCGTATTACTCGGAACTCACTCTATCGCCACCCAAATTAAGTCCTGGTTTTATGCCGGTTCATATGAGTGGAGGATTTCCTTCAGTACAAAACCAGGGTCAACAAGGTCCCATCATGGCTCATCCAGGACAAAAACCCCGCGTTCGTGTCGAATGGAAAAGTGTGGAAAATTTGCAAAAACACAATGGACCCAGATTAACAACGACGCACAATGACATTGACATCAACGGAGGACCTTCCCAACACGTGTACAACTCTCCAGTTCATAGTAATAATCACAATAGTAATAATAGTTCGAGTGGCGGTGGTGGTGGTGGCTCAAACAAAAGTTTCCAAAGAGAAAGTTTCCGACTGAGTCATGCATCGCCCATTGCTTCATCAACTCCAGTTGGGTTTGGATTTGAGGACAACAAGATTGAGAGGCCCGAAAAGAGTCCAGAATATGACAGGATCAAGACACCCAGTGAAATTGCTCAAGAGATGAAGGAACGGTTTGCCAATAACTTGGAGAGTGTTCACTACGTGGAACCAAATCCACCCAAAAACACCAATCTCAATCTTCCCAACAACAACAACAGCAGTGGCACTGGCAGCGCAAATAAGGGTGTGACTGCGACAAATAATACGCTTAATACGACTCTCAACCACTTGGGTAAAAATGAGACGGACTGCAACTCATTAGGAAGAAGTTCCACTTCGGATGGGGATTTTGGAACGTTGGGAGGATCAACGGGAGGCGGAGATTGCAACAACATGTACACCGTCGATGCGGGTAAGTCTACTGGATTATACAGAACTTGAGAATAATTTGCATGCACTTGCTGATGTTCACTAATAATTCTGTTACAGGATCTACTCCGTCTTCTGTTCGTAATAAATCTCGTCATTCCGCTCCTTCGTCTAAATTAAAGTCCCGACGAAAGAATATTTTGCACAACCTGAATTCAGAAGAAATGCGATTACTCAATTCCGGGGGTGGAAATGGCCCCAAGCAAATTGTTAATTCGAACAACACTGGGACTGGAGGGAGCTCTTCTGATGGTTCCTCTGGCCATGCCAGGTAATACTTCTTGAATCACACTAATAATAAAGCTACCAATACTAAATACCTATGAGGTTTAAAACTACGAATTTTATTATGAAACCACCAGCATGTCAGATAGTCAAACGAGCGGGTCTCCACCTGCAGAGTATGTTTCCATTTCCGGGGCACCGTCAAATCTGGCTTCGACAAACAATGCCGCTTCTCCTGGAAATGTGTCGAGTGGTTACAAATCAGTGCTTAAATCAGTGCCAGAAGACGAGACTCATAACGGAAGCAATGCTTCTGGACTCAACTCATCAGCAGCAGCCGCAGTGATCACCACCACGTCTCCAGGCCGAGTACCAATCGTCCTAGGAAGCGAAAAGAGTGCAAACTGGGACAGAAAAAGTTTGGACACTTCGATTGGGTCAGGGAGCAAAAAGTCGTCCCGGTCGACAAGGCACAGGAACAAAGTAAGTTTCCCAATACATTAGTCCAAAATATGTTAATTAGTGCCACAGCTTTCATACTTAAAACTGGCCAACTATGCACACACAGTTTTTTTAGAGCTCTGGCAATTAGCGAGAGTACAATACGCAAAGAAAATGGAGTCTTCATAATAAATCTTTTTTTACACCCAATTGATAATCGTCCTTAGAAAATGCAGGGAATACAGAAACTGTTGAATGAATAATCTGACAACATTGTACGTACATACGTTTAAGTTGCATCCGTCTCATAAATTTAAACAATGGGCCCTTTACAGAACAAACGGTGTAATTTTTAGTATAAAATATGCTCAGTGCTAAATAAATAGGACGAAGAATCCTCCTTGCTTTTAGACTTGTGAACGTGTGAATGGATTGTAGTGATGATTCCCCACAGTTTAGAATTATTGTGGCGACTAAATATTTAACAAAGATGCGATACAAGGTTAGGGCCGACACAGCAGGACCCCACCACCACCACCACTTCCAGCACTCCCCTCCTGCATCTAACCATGTGCGAAGCAATGATATGGAGAATTTAAATTTCGATTGTTCCCAAGTCTCATCTCCTCCACAAATCTTCACCACCTCGCCTCACCCCTTGAGTCCTACTGCTCAGATCATGGTTCACAAGATAGTACATACGAAATGTTATGGAAGACATGGAACGCATGTTAATGATAATCAGTTATGTAACCGATTCCACAGGCGAAAGTTTAATTTATTTGTTTGATGTGGAATTTGTGGAGCTTTATGAAAAGATACTGGAAACTAAAATAAGGGTTTCGTGCCGACAGTCAAACAAGTCTTTTACTTCAAACACAATGGTTCCAGAGAAAGACGTTCCCATTCCTGGTTAGCCTTTTTGCGCAAGACGAGGCAAGCTAAGAAAATTATTGAAGTTCGGCTATCGTGTTTAGATGTACGCACATTATATCCGCTCGAAAACCTTGTGTATTGAACTTTATTATGTGAGCATACATGTATTATGTAGGCATTTTCTTTACTTTTATGACTCCTTTTTTGGCATAATGACATGAATTATGTCCCCCACTGACTGAAATTCCTTTGCGCTCCTTTTCGGTTTCATCGTCTTTACTGTTATTGTCAAATTAACTTTTAGCTCAAGTGACGGATGATGGTGATGAGGGATGCATGCATGCGGGTGAACTGGTCTTGAACAAGTGTCCACCTAATTGGCAGTAAAATCAAATGAAAGATAAAATGTAGAACATAAGCAGGGACAGCTTCTGGAATATCCCGACGAGTTTTGAGTTGAAGTTCAACTTGACACGAAAATTGATCATCCCACCTGTTGCGTTATATGTGGTTCTGTTACCTTGTGAGCATTTCGGCCTGTATGCAGCATTTTATGTCATGATAAATGCTGGACTCTTTTGGGAGCGTTGCAAGTTTTTATGAGTCCGATAGCCCACAGTGGCTGATTACCATCTAAATAATAATGTCCTTCATGTCCACTACAGGAACCCATCTTGCTGAGCAATGGGAACAGCGGGCTGGAGGACATCAAGCAAGCGATTGAGCAGCTAACGCTCAGGTCGTCCCACGGTGGAGGGGGTGGTCACCTGAGGGAGTCGGGCCACCACTCCTCCTACTCCACCTCAACCTACTCCTCCATGAGTGGGAGTGAGTGCGATCGACACCGACGACCTCACGTCATCCGATACTCCAGTCACGACACCATCAACACCCAGGTAAATAGATTTATGCTAATTAAGTATTATGCTTCACAAACCATCCATTCAAACTCTTGGTGTAGGCTCATTCCTTAATTATGGTCGAAAATAAGCAGTTTTTTCTAGTTCATCGAGATAGATGAGCAGGATGACAGCTAATCATGACAGTTATCTCATAAACGGCCAGCAATATGGGATGCGGGTCCCATATTGGTTTGTTTTTGAGATGTGCTGATGAGTTATTGTCTTGCGGATAAGTTACAGATTCAATTTATTCGTTAATTGATTTTCCTTTTATGGTCGACTGACGTGGCAAAAATTTGGGTGACCTGACCTTTGAGACTTTTCAAACTGTTCGTTTTGTATCTACGGATAAATCTCATCGGCTCGAGGATGATGAACCTGAGCTTTTACGACATTCAGTGCAGGAATGCGGCTACTGGAATTTGTAGCGTAATTGCATTATGATTGAACATGTTTTCGCCATTACTTGCATCAACAACACAATCAACTCGGAGCAAGGAAGGTTGATTTGATTGGAGATATGTAGCTCTCGCTTTGAGAATCCTTCCTTCGTTGACCGTCAGGTTTCAGATGAAATTCCGTAATAAATCGAAACCTGTAATTACCTCGACTCGCTTCAAGTCGGACAAGATGAGGCTACTACAAAATCTCTCATGCTTAAACGTCCAGATGTACATACATGCATACGTACGTACAGATCTCATGTACTGATCTATGTGAAAATCCTACTTCTACAACCTTTTCAACGGTGTCGGCACTCTTATGTACTCATAATTAAAATCAGAGCCCAATTTCATGAAACATGTGCCACGATATTTAGGAAGACTGGGTTAATTCCTGTTCTATAATGTCCACAATTTTTAAACTGTGTAGGTGACATCAGCCGATGAATTCGTGTGGGTGGACTCGCACAGTCGTCTCGTTGAACTCCAGAACATTCCGTGGACAAATCAGGGTCCGTACATAAATACAACAAACTTTTTCATACGACAAAACGGTGTAATTAATATTTTATTGAAACATCAACCATTTTAGAAATCCTCAAAGTTGTTGAAAAGAGCTCCAAGCTTCGCGACAATCTGGAGCGCATTTCAATGGAGACTGTTCCTCGAGTGTCGTACCTGCTTCAAAGGGTAAGACGACGATGATTAACGTTATGTAATGCGTAAAGTGTAATAAGTTTACGTCGTGAAAAATAAGTTGGTAATTTTTAAATTCTGTGAACTTAAAACGAACGAATCCCCATGTTTATGTCCATTAAGGCGTTGGTGAGGGTGGCTCGAGAGACGCAGCGTTTTGGAAAACCGTCAGGATTTTGCTCAAAACAAGAAGTCTCGTCTGCCCTCAAAATTGTTCTCTCTCCTGCTTTGGCCGACTCCTGCTCAAAGGTATCAATTTTCGTGTTTGATTTGGATTAAAAAAATCAAATTGCATTATAAATTGACGTCTAAAATTACATTTCCCCAAATGCAGAGCTGTCTCAGAGCTGCTGCAATGTTTTCCGTGTCCACAAGCGACCCTCTTCATCGTGAATCCAAGTCGGCACGCTCGGGCCTAAATTTGCACGTGGGGCGATTTCACCGATGGATGGTTGATGTTCGGCTGGGTCGCTTTGTCCACGAATTTGCAGCAATTCACTTGACTGCTTCGATGGAAAACCTGATTGAAGAAATTTTGGGTCAATCTCTGAATAGCATCACAATCAATTCGGACGAAGGCACAAACCCCATTCTGACGGCCGCACTTTTAGAACAAGGTGATTGATTTTTAACAATCTATCGTATCTTGCATTTTATACTCAGCCAAAAAGTCATTGATAACCAAAAGGTTTATCTAATTCTTGGATTTTACAATATATTTATCTGGACAATTTTTTCAGCCATTTCGAACAACGGGGATTTATGGGGACTTTTACAACCCTATGCACATCTCAACGCTGGACGAACTGCTTCAGGTATGCGCTTTTGATAACACTCACAATTTGTCAGACTGTTGGATAAGTTGGTGTACAATCCCAGTTTTTGGTTTCATTCAAGTTTTCCATTCAGTACTGGAGGTCCATTAAATAGTCAAAGAAAAACGCAATTATTGGTTGTACGCATGTAGCTGTTAGTGGTGTTTGGATTGCACAACCCATGTCATGTTTTTATGCCTTTCATTTTATTATAAGCGGTCCAGGTTACGGACGATGTTTACGATATTCTGTTCGGTTTGTGACATCCACTTACCCAACCACGGCGAATGATGTCCACCTGAAACTTTTACCCCGACCATGTCAAAATAAACCAGGACTGGGTTGGATAGAATGCAAGTGGATTTTTGATATATAGGAGTGTTTAATTGTTGTGGTTTCTTGCAGGAGCATTGGCCCTTCCTCGACGCTGGGCATCTGCGGCGAGCGTTAATTCGTCAGGGAGCAGCAGTTCGACGATCGGACCTTCCCCCCACCAGGACGACTCCTCCCTCTCCAGCCGCTCCCACAGCCACAGCCACAAAAGTCTGGAGCAGTCCCTCCTCACCACCTGCGTCGGCTCCATCCGTATGTTCCAATATGTAACAAAGTTCAAACATGACAATGCATGTCAACTCGCAATTTCATGCCACTCGATCATAACGATAACACGGAGGATGAGGCTCGGCAGGTTAATGAATGGATCAGTGGTCCGAGAATTGGTCAACTGCACTTCTCATGCAGGCATAGTCGAAAGAATATTATTATGCATATCAATAGCTCCAGTTGGATAGTTGTGGGAACGCGTTCTTTGTTTCAGAAAGAGTAAAACGGCATTTTTCTAACAATTGTAATGATGACATTAAGAAGTATAATTATTTTATGCTGCAACGCGTGAAGAGTTCGACCAGAACAAAAGCAGGCAGGCATTCATGCATCATACATATGCATGTTGTGCATCGAAAAAGTACATGCAAGCTCATGTTCTTGTGGTTGGTGGAATAATTAAGCCAATTATTTAAGTAAAGAGAGTTTTTACAACTTCCTGACATTATTATGCACATTTTATACTTTGACTCCAATCACGCAAATCAGTGTTGAGTTTTTATAATACTTTTTTATACAAAATTTCCCTAATTAGGCTTATTATTCTTCTACATGGGTTAACAGATACAGGGGAAGCCATAAAATTTTAAATATTTAATTGGCATTTATCTTATCTTCTTGTCTCCCATTACGCATGCTTTCTTTTTGCAGCTGAACTGGCCGAGATTCTGTCCCTCGTATCTCGGGTGCACTACAAACAACTTCCGCTGACCACGACCAACAACGGGAGCAAGGTAGTGCAATTTTGTCCTATTCCATGTTTAACTAATGATCTCTTGACAAACTCACTGCTGAGGCAATGACAATCTCATTATTAATGCTGCTGTCAACCAATGAGCGGATAAGAATTTCTGCTCTCATGAAACAAATTGACCATCATTTGAACCACCCAGATTTTCTAACGTTTTTGTTTGCAATGAAAGCGGTTTTTAATTAGAAATTGATATGAAATCACTCACTATTTTTGAAGGAAAACCTGAGATGATATTTTAAATCATTCAACATTTTCCAAGCAGACTACCCATACCCTACTGTTATAATTATCAGGGGTGGGCAAGATACTTGGTCAAGATACAAGATAAAAGATACAAGATACAAGATAGTATCTTTATCTTGTATCTTGGTCGCCTGATCAGAGAAGTATCTTGTATCTTGTATCTTGTATCTTTTAGAAAGTCGAATAGTATCTTGTATAAGTATCTTATCTGGATATGCCTGGCAGAAAAGTATCTTAAGATAGTTTTGTCAAGATACAAGATACTTTTTCTAAAAATTCCGTAAAATTCTTAAGTCAAAGTCAATTTCGTACTACTGGCAGTCAATTTGACCATGAATTTGTCGTAACCAGAATTTGGTGAATTTTTAGTTTATGTTTTGCCAATGTGTAAAAAACTTCTACATGCATATGTACATATATTCATATATATATGTATATGTATATATGTTCATGTGTACTCGTACATTTGTATACATACATGCACATTACATGATATGTACCTACGCTGAACTAGTGTATATATCTTATAGGGTTTAGATAAGCAGGGAATATTGTAAAAATAATATCAACTTCTTAAAAATATGTATGTTAGGTAGAGTTCTAGTTTTTCGAAATTTTTCGAAGTATGTATAAGCACTGGCTACAAAATTTGTAAGAGGATTATAGAATGATTTTAAATTCTGTACTCACTAGATTTTTTCGTTTAAATTATTAAACATGACCAATTGGGCATGAATACCAAGGTAAAAAAAGAAAGTATCTTATCTAGTATAAAAGTATCTTAAGATACATATCTTGTATCTTGTATCTTGACTACTCAATCTTTAGGAAAGTATCTTGTATCTTGTATCTTGTGTACTTGAACAAGATGTATCTTTTATCTTGTATCTTATATCTTATCCTAGAAAGTATCTTATCTTGTATCTTGTATCTTGCGACCAAAGTATCTTGCCCACCCCTGATAATTATCCTTTGTTAATCTGATATAAGTATTCGTATGTAAAAGTATTAGCATTTTTATGATGAAGTGTGCAAGGGTTTGTTTTTGTTTGAGTAGTATCTGTTTTGTAATTATGAATCGGTTTGTTTGTCAATTTTGTAGTCAATAAACCCCACGTGGTCCCCCTCCGCTCTCCACACCCTCTTCTACTTCATGCGGTAACATTATTTTTTACTAAATTATGCTTAAAAATATGTGGTCCTTGTTCTATTTTAAATTTCGTTATTAAATATTTAACATAGCTGTTCGCAACTGGAAAATTCGGATGATGGGTTGGGCTCTACTTGCAACTTGGGTTCATCGACGGCCACTCTCGGCACTGAAAGCGTCCATGACAGACCTCAACATCATGGTGGTCAAAATCCTGCCAGGCTCCCCGTTCAAGAGTTGGTGTACGAGAGGCCCTTCATCGTGCTTCCGCCGCTTATCGAGTGGGTTCGTGTGGCCTCAGCACACGCCGACCATCGACATTCCGGACTGGTCGACAAAGATGACGTAATGCAAGCTGCTCGAATGTTGCTCCCGGTAATGAATAATTCTGCTTTTACTCATCTAGTAACATCAAAACAGCACAAAAATGCACAAAAATAGAAAGCAGCAATACATTTAAGTAAGAACTAAATTTTGTTTTTAGGGAATCGATTGTCCAGTTCGGTTCGTGGGGTAAGTCGTTTCTATTTTGGAACATTTTAAAAATATTTTAAATTAAATTATGTCACTTTATTATACCATACTTGTACATACATATAATGAATAATGAATAATGAATGTATAATCGTGCGACGTTATAGGTCAGACGAATTTTCATGGCCGCCAAGAAGATCTCTGGACGAGTTTGAATGCAACAAGAGGCTGAAAATAGACTTGGCCTTCAAAATGTTGACTTCAGGCAGGTCTGATTTGGTGGCACAAGCGTTATTGCTAATGCCGCCATCCAAGGCGAATACGTTTAATGAGACCGGTGAGGCTTATTTTTTTTACTAAAAAAATGGATCCCAACACATATTTACATAATCAAGTGGCATGCATAATACAAATAATAATGTGCACGTGTGTAATCATTTGCAGGTCTGTCTCCATTGATTTTGGCCAGGTAAGGATTTTGTTTTAATATTTTATCACAATTAAGGTTAATGGTTTTGAAACGAATTGTAGTATCCGAGGAGAAGAGACAATGGTGAGAGTCTTATTGGACGCTGGGGCAGAAATTGACGCAGAAACGCCTCCCAACGGTCCCAACTTTGCTCAGGCCAACAGTGAAACTCAGCATTGGACAGCCTTGACGTTCTCTGCTTTGATGGGACACGCTGGAATTGTTAAGGTACATAACGCTTTACACATTGCGCCAGTTTGCTTTATTGTAGTAGTAACATAAGTACCAATTTGGCGGATTCAAGAGTTGAGTAAAACGAGCTATAATTTTATTTACAGCTACTTTTAGAAAGAAATTCCAGTGTTGAAGGGGGTGCCAAGTTGAGCGAAGAAAAGTCAACTCAAACGCCTTTGCAAGTCGCTTCCGCAAGTGGAAACATGGAAATAGTTCAAACACTTTTAGGTTATGGGGCGAATCCTTTCATGAGCACCTTGGTTCGGGACTCATTGTGCTACACGGGGTCGGCACAAAGGTATAGCGAAATTTTATTGCAATATTTAAAATAACCTGTCCATTCGGCTTAGCCGAATTTACGAAAAAAATTGCGGTTTGGCATTTATCATGAAAAGAAAAGGGGTCAATTAACAAAGTTCATTTGTCAGTCCGTACCCTCATTCGATTTATTCTATTTGTTTTTTCAGAGGAAGCTTTAGCGCAATATCTGTAGCAGCGTCACACGGTCATAGGTCAATCCTCCACAAACTGTTGGCGCATCCATTCAACCAGCCATCGTCGAAAGAAGTTTTGTCGCTGGAGGAAATTCTGGCAGAAGGTGCGCAACCTCCGGGAAGTAGGAAAGATCTACTTCCGGGTCAAGTGATAAACGGAAGATCTGTCGAGGAGCCAAAGATTCTGTCCAAAACTCAAGTAAAAGTGCTGCAAGAGGCCATGTATCAAAGTGCCGAAAATGGACACATCGACATCACCCTGGACTTGAGGAATATGGGGGTGCCGTGGACGCTTCACTGTTGGATCAACTCCCTCGCCACCGCACACGAGCTGAGGTGTGAGCCCGTCATTAATCAATTGCTTCAAGACTTCCTCCACATTCTCCAACATGAAGATTTCTCACAAGCATCCTTCGTTGAGGATTGTCTCCCACTCTTGTTCAACATCTTTAGACAACAGGTTTGTGCATATTTACATATATTAATGCCCAGTAAATAATATTTATATGATAGTGCTACTAATCAAAGCGTAAATGCAATGTGTCACTTTCAGAACGAAGGGACAACTCTACTTCTCGCAGATATATTTCAAACTTGTTATGGACGAGAGTCAATCAAAGAGATTCGAGACACATCCATTTCAAACGGAACTCGTATCGATCCCAAATATGTCAATAACCAGGAATTGTCGGATGTCCAATTTCGTGTGGAAGGGCGCGTCTTTTTTGCCCACAAAATAGTATTAGTGACTTCATCCCAACGATTTAAATCCATGCTCAAAAGTGCCACGGATTCTAATCCTCCCGTTTTACAAATCAACGATATACGCTACCCCACATTCCAGGCAATTCTTTATTGTCTTATTTGCTGTATCTCAATGTTTTGATTTAAAATTCATTTCATATTTATGTAATTTTCATGCGCTGAAGATGGTGATGGAGTATTTGTACAATGGAAGTTGCGATTGCATCCGACACATTGGAGCAGAGGACGTCTTAGAGCTCATGGCTGCAGCCAACTTTTTTCAATTGGACGGTTTATTAAGATTTTGCGAATCACGGTGTTCACAAAAGCTTAATATTGAATCAATTGTGTCGATGTACATTCATGCCAAGGTACGTACTCCTCTTTTTTTGGCTATAAAATCTCGCGGTAAAAAGGTTTCCACCTGGCCCACACAGTTCGCACCCACTTCCATTCAAAACCCTATGTCTAAAGTTTTAAGTTGCCATAAGCTTTGAATGGAATTGGGTGCGAACTGTATGGGGCAGGTGGAAACCTTTTTACCGCGAGATTTTACAGCAAATAAAATAAGAGTATGTAACTAATCCCAAGTCTTGTTAGCCTTGAATGCAGTAGGTTGCCGATATTGAAAAATCCAAAATTACTAATTATGCGATTTATGTTCTCTCTCGTTTGAAAGGTATACAATGCTATACAACTTTTGGAGTACTGTCAAGGATTTCTACTGCAAAACATGGTAGCCCTGCTAACGTTTGACGACTCTGTGAGACGATTAATTTTCGGGAAAAAGCTGCACAATCACGATGTTCTAGCCGGACTATTGCTAACTCTTCAAGCGAGATTAAAGTCGAGGCCAAGTAACTCCACAAGAAAGTCAAAGTAAAATTGTGTACTTTGTTCAAATACATCAACTACAAAACCAATGCCAAAACGCAGTATTTTGGGTGATCTGCCATAATGTATTTTAGTTAAAAGTCAAGACATTTTAATTTTATACTGGACGAATGCAAGTATTTAGTTTTTATAAGTTTTTATTTAACAGAGTTTGAATTTTAGTAAATAAACACATTTTTAATCTCAGTCCTATCTTAAGAATATGAAAATTTTAATAATTGCCGAATAGTTTATTACATTTTAGATCAGTTATGGATCGTATTTAATTTAGTTTTGGTCAGTCACAATTTACCTCCATCCCATTATGCTTTGTACCATTGCAGTTTGCAGTAAATTTTGTTGAGCATCTTGACGAAACCACGAGAGCATAATGAATCTACCGATATGTAAATATATATGTACACGTATTTGTATTGTCTCGACACAGTCACCGTCTCATCCTGTCGTCCTTAAAAAGATATGAATATCAATCCCCGTTGTTGAACTCGATCCATTTCCACAGATGCATTTTCCGTGTTTCTGTTCCTCCGAGGACGACGAATCTCCACGGATCCTGCGTGACCATCCACGTTTCGAACGCTGATGATTGTGCAAGCTCCGGACTGCTGGGTTCTAAATTCGTACTTTCTTGGAAGAAACTTGTTGATCTTGATGACCATATTTTGTCGCTCCGTCACTCCCATGATGGTTGCACACCCTTTCGTGCGCACCTCAAAATCTCGTACATCGCAAGTAGCATTATGTTGGCTACATATTAAGTAAGTAAAGTTACATAAATCTGTGTATGTGCATATCGATTGTTTACAGAAACAATGTGTAATCTATGGTTTAGTCCGTTACTTTTCTGGCAGCGGATAATCATATCTTGTTAAATCGGAGAGACACCATAAGATTCCCATCTACAATTGTTACTAAAATGAAACAACATTCGCACTTGCGCTATTATGAATAGGTATAAAATTCTATTAGTATAACCTCGGCAAAAAGTTTGACCAGCAGAACAACCATGGAACAAAACTGGTAGAATCGAACTCTGTCATATTCATCCTTGAAGCATCCTTTGGTCCATACTTCATGACGCCTCACATACTTATTATTACATTCGTACGTCTGAAAATGTATGCACCATTCTTTTAAATCTCTGAAATAATATGTAATATTCTTGCAAAACCAAAAACTCGACAAAACCTACATCCGTATTGCAACAGGATGGTGGATACATGTCAAAATCTCCACCTCGTCTTCGTATCATCCAAGTATCAGCAGACTGAACTCCGCAACATTGACCCTGTTACGTTATAATAATAATAATAATGTCACTCGTTAATGCTGTACAATTTTATTGGTAATTATTAAATGTAATACGTGCATGAAATTGGGTTTCATCCCAAACAGGAGCCAAGTAAAGAGGAGGTACTCCTCTCACAGAAGATTCTACCATAAAAAATTATAGTAAAAACGAGAGTATTTCTCCAATATTCGATATTAACAATTATTTTGAGTGCTGTGAATACATGAATCAGACAAATGTCAAGGCATACCTGTCATTTCCTCAACCAAACTAATTCCTGCATAGCTGTACGTAAAAATCGTCGGAACTTGTTGAAAAATGTCGAGGAAAACAGCGAGAAATGCCGGCATCATGAGCTAGATTAACATGTTTAGACTTTTGATTCTCTTATTTTTAGCTATTTATGTACATATTTAGGATCGTTGTTGCAGATTTTTACCGTGAATTGAAACCCTTTCTTCCTCCGACAGCGGATACAAGATAAAAGAAAAGTAGAGCAGCATAAATTCAAAATTGGCATGAATTCGTTGACTAAATATTTGCAGAGCCACGTCCATCCATCCGAAATACGAGCTCTTCCACACCCCAAATGATGGGTTCGATTTGGTAATGGCGACGTGTCTTCAACGTCGTCATTCTCATCGTTGGACATTTTCGCCCTTGCCGTTTCCATCATGAGTTTTGTTAGCAGGTTCTCTTTCTCTAAACCACCAGGGAACTGCTCAGCACGATAAGCTGGCCCCTTTTCTCCATTGATAATTCTTCCTTGAAAAACTACATGATTTTTGTTGTTGAGGTAAAGACATTCCCTGTCCGCGTTGGAAACCGAGTCTGGAATGAAGAACTCAGAGAGGATCCTCCAACTAAAGGAATGGGCTGGATGAATGCTAGGATTTTGTTGTAGTTGACCGATCGTTGGGACGAAGAACCCCACAGCTTCCAAGCCTATTTGAGCGTGTAAAGCAATGCTCATCTGCGTAATAAGAAAGGCAGAAGTTGAATTCACTCAGCTGTAAAATTTGGAAGCTTTAAGTGTTTATAAACATACAATGATTAGGCTGATGAATCCAAACCCTAGCACCTCCGATCTCCGAATCGAACGAGTGTACCGAAGAACATGGTAGTATGGGGACAAGACGAGTTCCTCCTTTAGGTGGTCAACCTCTGATCCTTCTCCTCCTGGGGGACAATTGTCATTGATCACGCTGTTATTATCGTGTTCATTTTCGTTCTCGTCTTGCTGATATCGATTGACGGGAACTTCATCAGAACTATTAGAGCCTTCAATTGATCGGCTGAGAGGCAGATTCTGACCCTCAATGAGGACCATGTCCATGCTGTGCTCTTCTGCTGGATCGGTCATAATATGCTATGAATTATCGAAACGGGAGCGAGTTCAAGTATTTTCATATGAAACGAAGGACATGTCCATTGGATAAGAAGAGAACAAAGTGGTTGAAGTGAAGCCGGGGCAAAATGCGGATCATTCTGGCTGATGCAAATTTAAAATGCTCGTTGCTCCTTCTATTTTGTATCTATTCGACTTTTAGGATCTCTCAATATTTTTATCGAATCCACAGAAACGTCAGTGCAATTAAGTTTCCGAGTATTTCGACCCCTCGTACCTCTATTTGACAGGTAAGTAATAAGTATAGATTGCATCTTAAGTTCGAGTTGCATTCTGATTTGGAAACGTTATTATTCTCTGTAGGACGAATTCCGATATTCTCGAAGTGAACAATGTTTGGACTGGGAGGAAGAAATGTGGGTCAGATGTGGCTCCGAAGCCGGTCATTCTTCACGAGTTCTCTGAAGCGTGGAGGTCATGACGAAGGTCATCATGACATTGGCGGAATCCCTGGGAATGTACGTTTGGCTTTCTATATTATTCGATCAATATTTTTAGATTTTTAGTTAACTCAAGATTGCATTTTTACTAATTTAGAATCTCCCCTTCGACATCAACAATCACTACAAGTTGGCATTGTACTTTGGGATGTGGTTCGGGTCTGGTTTCGCCATGCCCTTCATCTTTGTGCGGCACCAACTTCTGAAAAAGAGCTCTTAAAAACGTAAAGTTAGTGTGCAAGTTCAGCTGACTGCCATATTTTTTAAATTGATAAAATCAAATAAATGTTTTCGAATTTGTAACCTTTTTATTTAGTTAAAATGTATTTCAAAATAAACTTCAAAAATCTCATCTTCATTCAAGATTCCTCAATCTTGCAATAAATAAACGATCTTCAGCAGTAACAAACACCTCGATGTTTAATTCAAGTTTTTATTTATTTTCAACTATCAACAATAAGTAAAAATGTTTCAAGTGTCTAAATTATATATATGTATATATGCATATATGCTAGAATTTCATAGCTCGCCTAAAAACTATTACAACTACTATGCATATAATTACATATTACATCACAGACGATACAATAATATCAAATGAATAAGTGAAAGTACATAATTATAAATATTAAGCTTACTTTATTATGTTCACCTACATTGTCCATGGCCAAACGATATTAATTTTAATAGTGTCGTTTTGTCTGAGTTCGTCGAATCTTGCGAACATGTCGTAATGCGCATTTGGCAGCTATACAGTAGTAAAAATATTATGACAATTTACATGATTAACTTTCAAATATTTGTAGAAATGAAATGAAGGTCCGAATAGTACATACCTGTGCATTTTGCAATTCTATAATTTCGTCCAATGCCACGAAAAACCCCAACCCCAAAAATTTCGACTGTAACTGAAAAGAGAAATAAACTAAAATTCAACCAAGAGCACGACAAAGTTAATGATTGAGGATGGAAGCTCATTTGGAAGTTTTTTAAGTAATAATAAATAATAATAAGTTAATAATTTTTAATTACCTCGAACTCTGCGTCCATCCCAAAGCTTTTCCGGTTTCCCGAATTTGGCAGTCTCTGGCTCAAGCTCCAAAAGTTCTCTTATGGGAGATTTCGGCACATTTTTACTGAATGCCTCTAAAAATTGAGCATAAATGATGTTTGGTAAAAGGAAGTCATTCATGATGATTGATTTAAATATAATTTATAATACTGTTGCCTTTTACCTATTTCATTTCTCATAATTCGATAATAAACACTCCACACGGCGTCCAAAGACATGTTGGAATCTAAGAATATGGCTCCTGCAACTGACTCGAACACATCTCCAAGTGCTTTTGGAACTTCGATGTCTTCAGCTTCTTCACATTCTTCTTCGTCCATCAAATAATACTGAAAAAAATAAGATCCAACTTGTATAGATTTTGCATACAAAACATTATATTTTAAACGTTATTATGGGATAAAATGCATATGTCAACTTTTGTACTTACATCTTGGGTCAAGGTGTTTCCGTGTTGCTCCTGAAACGTTACAAACTTTTGCAGTACGCTTCCTAGACCAGGGGAAGCATGTCTAAAGAACTTGTGGAAGTTATTTTTAACTGCGAGCGAAGCAAAAATTGTGTTGTTAACTAATGCTGATCTTAAGTCAGTCAGTGATCCTGGAGAGTGTTGACGCGGATCTTCGTACAAGTGACGAGTAATTAGGTAGTCCAGGATGGCTGCCAACAAATGGTCATCAGGTTAATAAGGATAATGTGAGAAGGTACATTATGATACAAAATAGCCACAAATTATTCGTAATCATTGGGCACAGCTTACCATCCCCAAGAAATTCTAAACGCTGATAACAATCAGTTAGCGCATTTCTCGAGTAAGAAGCATGAGTGAATGCTTGGAGAAGATAACTTCTGTCGCGGAAATGGTACCCAATAGCATCTTCAAATTTGTCGTAGCCCTGAAATAAGTAATGTAATCTTATCAATGGCCGCACTACTTATATAAAGGACAAAATATGGTTTGTTTTTGTTAGCATTACCTTCAATAAAATTTCTAATGTTCGTTCACATTCACTATTGTAGCGGAGCAAGGGAGATTTTGGAGGAGTCAGCTTGTGGAATATAATGGCTTCAGATCCTGCAATTCTTGTATAAATTATCGGATTTTGCGAAGAATGAGCGTCACTCTCAAGTCGTGCACACAAATCTTCTTGGGACACGGTCGTTGATGGAAGAACTCGCATTCCTAGCCACGACATGAAGAGCAAAGCTCCTTGGGGACCCTTGAATGTGAAATTGTGAACATAAAAGTGCTTTAAGCAAGTGACTATGTAATGAATACACTTTCACAGTTTAGTTATTACCATTGATGTTAAATAGGCCCCAATTAACGCTTCTACGCAATCGGCAATTGACTTGTCTGGAATTGACTGCTGCGTTACAAGGTTGTATGGAACAAATTCAGACTCTGATTTTACACTGTGATTCTTCAAAGCTGTTTCCATTTCAGAGGGTGACATGCTTTTTAGAGCGGCAACCTACAACAATTACCACATGTGCAATATCTTACGAGTTAAAATTAAAAGCCATTAAAATGTACCTGCGCCATTGATACATGGCTTGGTGGTAGCTTAGAAAGTATGAGAGCTTTGTCAAGAGATTTAGGAATGTGATACCCAGGAGGGAGCCAATTATCATGAGGCTCAAATTTTGCAGCAATCATAACTTTTCCTAGACCACGACGACGTCCAAGCCGATATAAGTGGACATTGCTCACCTGCAATCAAGGGTATCAAAAAATTAGTCTCATCTCAGTGTTATTATGATGTGAAGAATCATTACGTTTGATCAAGTACCTGCTTGGAACGCAAATGACTTAGCTTTCCTTCGTGAATATTTTCATATGTGCAAAACAAATATGATGTTATTGCATATTTAAGAAATGAGTCCCCTATTGTTTCTAAACGCTCCAGATTAAGGCCATCATTGGCATTTGACATTGTTAAGGCTTGAAGAATCTGACATGGACTGGGACCGTGGTGGCTCGCCAAATTTGGCTGATAATCAAAACTGAATGATCCTTCAGGGACAGTGTGCTTGTTTAATGTTTCCTTAATATGCGATGGTTCTGAGACAGTTGGTTCTGGTGGAGTGAGCGGCGTCATTTGCTGAACAAGAGATTCATAGACACTGTCCACTACATCGGTTTGTGTCGGCGTTGGAGCCAATTCGTTTCGAGATCTCATTGGGAGCTTAAAGAAGAAACAGTAATGAATGAGGTTCCAGTTATAGAATAAAGTACTTGGAATATGAATTAAGCGTAATCATAATATATACCCTAGTCAACTGATCCCATGGTAAAATTTCCTTCACTTCAGGGATCCGATTGTTAACTTCATTTTCAAATTCTATACGGAGTAATTCTTCTGTAACAATTTGCTGATCGCCAATATCCTCTTCCCCATCATTCATTTCTTCAACGTCATCCATTGTCCACCACAAGTCCTCATTTGCCGTCCACATATCTTCCTGTCGAGGTTCAAATCCAAATTTACGCTTGTCGAGGGCTTCAGCCGTATTTCCACTGTGAAACTGAATTTTCAAGGTATTATCCTCGTCCAAGAAAGAACCATCTGATCCACTCATGTCTGAAGTCACAGATGCTCCATCATTATCACCAGCAGTGTTTCCAGAAGAAGGGTCGTCAAGGTCTTCAATGGGTATAAAAGCATCTCGATCCCATACTTCACCCCAGTGAGTGGGACTACCATACAGTGCTCGATGAACTCGATGATTAAACCTATTTGAACAATATTGATCAATGAATGTCCTGTTCTATCAAATTTAGAAACACAAATTTCGTGTGGGTTTTAGTGCAAAAAATTATCAGTTATCAGTAGTAATTATTTAATTATTATTTACAATCTAGAACGTCCGCCCCACGACCAGTTTTTATCCAACATCATTAAATTGGAAGGGAATGCGACAGTGGGATCTAAAAGCTCGTCTTCTTCTTCAAATTCAGCTTCAGGTGGTTCTACATCAACTGCCATATCATTCGACCACATTCCGATTTCTAGCGCAGGGGGCTTACATTTTTTCATTTCCTCACTCAGAATTTCATTAGCAGATTTCCTACAAAATAAAGTAATTACAATCAGTAAGAACCGTGCAGTATGTTAAGCTGTATGATTTATAGGTAAGAATAATAATAATTTTAAAACATTTACCCCAAGAGGTTTTCATTCAGAAGCAGTGCTTCGGCAAGTGAGACCCCGCTTAAAGTTGCCTCTTTTGCAGCCTTTGCAAATCCAGTGAGCTCTTCTTCAGCTTCCTTCTCAATCTTTTTAGCAGATTTTGACTTTACTCTTTCTTTCTTTTTTGGCTCTTCTTCAGGAAGCTTGTCCACGAAGACCTCTTCAACAATCTCTTCTTCTTTAGTCACATCTCTACTAGAATCACCATCGAGTAACTCACTTTTGTTTCCAGTTTGTGATAAGTTAGCCAGAACATCACTTAAGCTCCAACCAAATGACAAACCCTCCCACTTGAAACCCTTTTGTAAGGTTATCTGGCCCAAACCAGATATTTGAGTTGCAACAGTTAAACGAATGTTGTTGGCTATAAGTAGACAGTTCAGCCTGTATAAAATACATGGTAAGCATACGGCCTGTCTCCACAATGATGCATTAAATGGATGAATAGAGCACAGTTCTGGAACCTTCACAAGAAAGAGTAATTGAGTAACAAGTAATACACTGGACAAATTACAATAAAGAAAAAATTATACATACCAAAATCTGTTTTTGTTCAAGATTCTCTCGTTTAGCTTTTTTTGTACTTTCGCTACTTGTTGGTAAAGCCATTCCTTTCCGGTTGACGTAGCGCGGAGTCAGAAAATTAAGACGGGCAGAGGTATGGTCTACATCAAGCAGTGGCTGATCGACACATTGAATACCAATGTTGTACTTTTTCTGATAATATTCATGAAATGTTTTAAACTCGCATCCTGAAAAAGTTAAAATGCAATTCTCATACATATACACACATAAAGTACAAACTGTGCATGTCAATCGAAAAATCCAACCCAACAACAACAACATACCTGGAAATTGTGACTTTGGGGTCAAACTCTTGCAAATTTCGGCAACGTAAAAGTATTGAGGTGCATCATTGCTTCGATACCAAGGCATAACTACCGCATCCTCATAATCTTCCTTCCGGAAGGTATAATCCTTTCTATCCTCGTCACTTTTTGGAACAGGTCCTGCACAAATCCTGCTTTCCCAAATTGTGTCCAAAAATTTCCAGTCAATATCAACAACTCTAGTGGAGAGGTCAACAATTCCTTCTGGATGTCGATCAAAGTCGATTGCTCGCAAAGGGACAACATAATAGCAGTTTTCAGACAGTCCAGGATCAAACAATGTAAGATATTTATCGAGTCGGAGAACTGAAGTGAATGTATAATGGTGAAAAGTTGAAATCTTCTCCAAATTATCAGCAGTAAATTGAGAAGCATTCACATTTGGAACACGAACCTACGGATAAATACACGGAAAAATCAATACTCAAACAAGGTCATGATACAAAAGAATTTTGTCAAAAAAGTAGCTAATGAGCTCATACCAACTGCACTTGAACCTCGCCACAACGAGTATAAATTGGGAATGCAGGAAGTAATTCAATTTCCTTTGCTAAAAGTATCCCAAATGACTGAATACACAATTCCGGTGGGTGTAACTTTCGTCCCCGTGTATTCTGTAACAAACAGTGAAAATCTGAAATTTGTAAGCTGGTTTTGAACATTTTCGACACGTCAACTTTATTAAAAATCCTACTTTCCTTTCATCATCTGAAGCTGAGCGTGTATATAATTATTATCGAGTTAGACTGACCTGCTCATCAGGAAGGGGACATGTTAGTATCATCTGAATCCAATATAAGAAAACAGGTTTGTCAGGCTTTGGAAGGCAATAAACAAGCTCATCAGCAAGTCTCTTGTCATAATACTGTCGCCGTTTCGTGCTGCCTGGTCTGAATTCGCCATGCTCTTCTTCTTCTTCTGTGTCGTCAACGATGCACAGATCAGCCTCTGGAACAACTCCTTCCTTTACAAAAATTATATGAGTGCACTAAAAAACTCAATTACGCAAATATTACGGTTTTTCAATTACCTTTCCAATTGGGGCGAGGTTGTCATCCAATTCCCCATTCGTGTACAATACTATAACGGTTTGTAGAGCTACAGCCTGCTTCGCGAGATTTGTTGTCTTCATCGGAACACCCTGCATCCAAAACAACAACCACATGCACATAAAAAACATATTAGTCTACAAAGCTCTTGCTCAACCATCACAAGACGGTATGGTATGATGCCTATGTTATTAACGACTCACAGTAATTGGCCATTTAACAGGTGAATTGATGGGTAATCGTATAGTGCAGGTATACAAACGAGATTCATTTTCTCCAGTAATCAGCGTTGGTGCTTTCTTCGCCTCGTCCTCCTTCACCACTGGACTGACAGCCCAAAGTGGGACCAATCGGGTGAATGTGTCACTTGGAAGTCTTGCACAGTATCGATTCACGATCGCTATCGAAGTGGATAGAGTTGCAGACTTGAATCTCGGGAAGCTGTCTTCCAAAGCTTTATCCAGACAAACATCGGCGGAAGAATTGGTTCGTGGTATCACACAATTTGCTAAAAGTATTTCTTGAACAAGTCGGTAAGTAGCCAATTGTCGCAGGCAAAATGAAAGATACTTCTCGTCAGCAAATATAAAAAATTCTGCATCTCGTCCTTGAGCCCTTCCCTGAAATTACTCACGATTTTTAATTGTGAAAAAGTTTCAAATTATTACATTCATATAAATATAAGCACCTTAGAAAACAAGTAGGAACGGAATGACTTTGGAGCATCAAATCTAACGACTAAATTGGCTTTCGGCAACTCGATACCATCTTCAACGATTGAGGTTCCGATTAGTAAATTTGCTTCGCGGTATCGAAATTTTCTGAGATTATCTTCTCGTTTCTTGTGCTCCATTTCAGCTTCTCGAGAATCTTTGCCAAATTCGGGATTTGAACAAATAGCCAATGTGGGATTCAAACCGATTAACTTTGAGTCTAATCTGGCAGCTTCCTTCAAGTAGTGAAACCTTTTACAAAACCAAAGCAAACAATGTCAGTATTTCTCAAATAGTATCAATCATATTATTAGTTAGCAATTAAACTCTAATGAATGACATGACTTACAGAATTCGCGCATCAAACCGGTTGTCCACAAAAACTATGCCACATAAAGGTGGGTCCAACAAGCGAGATTGTTTTCCTTTCCGTGGGAAGCGTTTGCCTTTTCGTTGTTTGATTTGTTCTATATCGACCTTATCTGCATCGTCCGGAATTTCCTGGATAGCTACTGAGTCATCATCTTGCGCAATTTCACTGGCAATGCCATTTTCTTTACTTTCTGCTGGTAGAACTGCTGACTCTGCTACAATTTGCTCAACTTCTACGTCCTGGACAACACTATGATCAATTTCTGCATTTGGTACTTCTTCAGTATCAACTACTGTAGTTGTCGGCTCTCCTCCGTCTTCTGCTACTGGATCAGAGTCTGACGTTTTTCGTTTATTTTTATTTTGTCCTTTTCGACCTTTCCGGGATGTTTCCCAGCGAACGTTCTTCCGCCGTCGTTCTCGGCAGGTCTTGGTAGGAGCAGGAGTTTTGCAGTTAGCAATGCCACTGTCTTGTTCTGCATCATTCTTGTCTTCGTCCTCATCATCAATGATAACAGGACGTCTTGGCTTGTAGCACTCGATTGGAGAAGTCAAATCAAATCTTCTGAGAATGTCTAACATTGAACGTAATTTCGGAGTGGAAAAAGTTTCAAGAACTTGGAGTGGGTCGAGATTCTTAAACGCCTTGTAAAATGCTGATTGAAGGACAATTAGTCGAGTTTGTAATGCTCCTAATAACAAGTAGTGTCTCTCGTATGGGGTACGGACCTAAGAATCCACAAATATGTACACCAAATTTTAAGTGTATGATATGTATAATCCTATAGTAAATAAATTAACATAAGTTACCTTTAAGCGATCCACCAACTGCAATAATAAAATTAGTGACCGTTCTGCACACCAAGGACCAAAGTTTTGCAAAATGGACTCGAATTGACGAATGATATTTAAAGGTTCCGCATTTGGGTGACCAATTTTCTTGAGTTCCTCTGCGATAGAATCAGTTTCGTCTTCAGGTTCAGCTCCCTCCTCTTCTATTATTATTGTGCGTGGGGCGTTGGGGTCGAAACCGAAGGCAGCAACTGGATCAAAGACGTGATTTTCCAGAAAAGTTTTCAAGCCACACAAAGTCCGTCGAAGTTCACTGCTCAATTTGACTGCGGTTTCTTCAAGAAAAATTGGGTTCATAGGAATAATTCGTTCCGTCACAGTGGATGAATATCTATTGAATACATCGAGTTGGAGAGTTTACTCCCGTTAATTATTAATTCAAGTTATTATAGTTTAGGATTTATAAAAACAAGACAAGATAAAAGTAGCTATCGTCTACCTCAATAAGGCAACGACGTCACTGGAAGTGTCCACTTTTGCACCGCAAAGCCTTTCTAATCTTTTGAAAGTTTCCTTCATTTTCCAAAAACCATCGCATTCATTCCCATAAAAATGCAGCAGTGATACTGTGAGAAAAATCATACGAATGGGTGGTGCAGAATTTTCCAATTTAGACCTCTCAGTGTTACAGGATCTGGAAAATTGCATACACAATTTTTTAAATCAATCAAGAACTGCTTGTATGACAATATCCGTTATTATTTTATTTATTTAAAGTAATTCTATAACCTGATGAGAGAGAAGATGTCTAATAGTTGGGATTTGGTGTCATCATTCCTCAAAGCTTCATGAACATTATCGCAAATGACGAGGGATAGCTTTTCAAGTGGTATTCGCCTGGTACCAGTTTTTTCACACGTCGTCAACTTTAGGAACTTTTTCTTGCTGCAAAAAATGGTACATGGAACACAAAGATTGTCCAGTAGTTCTGCCTCCTTCTTTACAAAATTGTCGTATTTTGCGTCGCTCTCGTCCGGCCACTCTGGTAATCGTATTGTCTGAATATTGGACAAGGTTTCTAGTGGTACATGACATTGTGGAGGGCCCGAGAGTTTTCTTATTGACCCACAAATCCTGTTGTCCTGCCCTTTCAGCAACTCTACCAGATTAATATCGTCATCATATGGAATAGGCTCCTGAATCAATACTGAGATTCCGTTTTGGCTAATAAGGTTTTAAATTATAATTAAAGATTTTCAACAATAAAGCAAACAATATATTGTAGTACGCACAGGAAGTAATATTCCTTGAAGAGCATAAACGCCAAGAACTGCTTGGCACTAAAGTTGAGACAACAGGGGATCACATCTTGGTGTTTCGCAATTTCCAGTATCTCGACAGCGAACTCTTGTGGCGTAAAGAACTCTGAATTCACGTCGACGTTATGAAACGACATTCTTGGTGAATGTGGAACTGGCCAACCACGCAAAAATCACCTGTAAGATAAAATATGAAGATAAAATAAGTAGCTATTTAATAACGTATAAAATTAACACAGTCAACAGTAAGCTGAACCAGTATCTCCGCGAAAATATTAGCTTCTAAGAACAACAATTACCCTCTATTTCCTTTTCCAAGTGGAGTATACGCGACTAATTTGTCAACCCCTTTTCATATTTCGAAAACTATTTCAAACTTTCTCGACATTGAGATGCCGACAAATGTGAGCTTTATGATTTTGTTTTGTTGCACGCGTGAGCAAAAAAGTTGTTTTGTTTGATGCAAGCTCGAATTCGGTGCTCCTTGGAAGGGGAACAATGCGAGCTCCAATGTACATGAACATTCTACAAAATGATCTAATAAGGAGTCACAAGTCCGTGTAAAATTGCATACAAATTGCACTGAACTTTTAATTCATGATTGAAAAAATGAAAACAATCCGACCTGTTATCCACCCTAATAACCTTTTTGTTACATGAAACAATTCTTTGACGTAGAACTGACACATTTCCAAATCCAATCATATTTAGTAACAGCGTTGACGCTCACACGGAAGGTGCTCTCATATTCAGAGTCTGGCTATGTATGTATTTTAAACTTTTTCAATAACAACCCGATTGAATTGAAACTTTGGAATATTGCTTGAGGTCAGTCATAGGTCACACGGTCAAAAAAATCTTTTCATATATTCTATTTGTACATATTTTGAGGTTGAATATGCAGCACCGAAGCACCATGCGGCTGTGGTGGCACGACGAAGATTAAAGTATCGTTAAATGAATTTATTGGGTTTTTGAGTTGTTTGTTGAAAGTTCTATTATAGAACAAGTGTCACAAAGTATAAAATTGTACATAGTTATAGATTAAGTAGGTATTTAATTTTTAAAAAACTGAAATTTAGAAAATATAAAATATAAAATTTAGATTTACTTCACGGTCACTCCTTTGTAAAATGCAACCATTCCTTTGATTTTAATCGCTTCTGGTTTCGGCTCTTTGTAATACCTGGACAGAATTGGAAATAATTTTACAACAAGACAATCAATTCTTCATTATTTGTAGCGAATTACCAGGCTGCAGCTGAATTTACAGCGCCTGGAAGTACAAAATTTATGTGTTATTAATTATATTGGCACAGGTCGGAAGCATTCGAATTACTTGCCATCAACGACGACATCGTAGTAGTGGGCGACGCCCTTCCAGGGACAAGTCGATGTGTTGGAACAGGGTTTCAAGAATTCCTTGTGGAGCGACTCTTCCGGAAACTGGGAAAATAATTCGTTTATTTAATAACGAGATGGGACTGTAGGGGTATTTGTTGGGCCTTACATAATGATTTCCTTCCACCTCCACCGTTTTAGTCGAGTCTGCGATGACTTTCCCCTTCCACGTGGCCACAACCATCCTGCTCAGGTAACGAACCTCGGATATTCTTTTTTTTCAGTGAATTGTTAGCTAACCAATATGTATCGACTATTATGAGACAATTAATTAAAGATAGATCGCGAGTATTCACTGACCTTATATAGCATTTTTGCATTGTGTTGGTATTATGGTAACGCTTGAGATATAATAGGTCAATCCACAAAAATCTTGTAATAAGGGGCTCTCATACGAATTAATTAAAGGTTGACACGGTCTCAATTAACTTGGCTATAGTTTTGTTTATGTATAATTTTATTCAGACACATTGATAAAAGACATGAAATACAAATTTGAAGCTTTATTTATTAGTAACTGTCAATTAATCGTGGTTCGATCCAAGTTCGTGAACTTACGCAATTGTTTATTCATATAATTAACTAATTACTACCTTATTTGGTCACTTGCTCAATATAAGTAAGAGAAAATATTTACCAAGATCGCAGAAATACTTTAGTGCCAATGGTCTATCAATAAGCAGGGAGTGGCTCTTGTTTATACAAAGTCAGTCAGGCGATGGACATTCTCAAATCAACATGACGTCTCTTAAGCAGGTGCATGCTTATTTTGACCAATATTACGCGAGGGATTATCAGCTTGAAATTGCATGCGGTGATTCTATAGAAGAAGCCCCCAAAAAAGTAGGAACTTCATTGCAGCATAAATCACTGCTCGCTGCTGTGACCAGGGCAGCGCTCTGGCCTCTGCGGATATCGCAGTTCGCTGGATTTTTTCCAATTTCCATTCAACGACAGAAAAATGGTGTCAATAGCTCCTCGAGTGTTGAAGTATCGGTTGACCTTCTTGCCACTGCTTCCATCCTCACATCACCCTCGGCCTGGTGGACCCTGCTTCTCATCAGCCTCGCCGCATTTCCCATAATCTCCTTTCAAGCTGATGCTCAGAGGTTTGACGATTATTCCGGCGCTTTCGAGTCCATGGGTCGCAACACCTTCAGGGTGATTAACACTTTGTGGATAGTGTTTGGCAACGGTTGCCCTTTTTTAACTAGAATTGATGCAATCCTTCAACGCACAAAATTCAGACAGTTCTGGACTAATTTTCTCGAAATGTTGAGACAATTTGATGCAGAATTATTGAGTGGAGCGGAACTTTCGTCAAAATTTGGAGCATCATTAAGAAGAAAGTTTCTTGGGCATGCCGTCATCAATTTTTCCGCTTTCTCGGTCGGACTCTACGGAGGTCTCTCGTTTGCGGTGAATTACGAAGGGGAAACGTACATTTACATAATGGGCATCTTGCAAGATGGGTTTCTAATGATGCTTGCTTGCTTTCAAGTGTTTGGCTTCACTCTCATGATATTTTTCCTCCTGGTGTACAATCACTGCTTGGGAGTCATCTTGACCAAGTTGGAGCAGGGTCAGAATAGCAACGACGTGATTTCAAAGCTGATCAAATTGTACAAACTAGTTGATGACCAAGTTCACCAATTTAATGCAGTTTTCAACTACAAAATAGTGCTGGAAGTCTTTTACAATTTCATGTCCATCTTATTTTACGGATATTTCTTGATTCTATTCACTAAAATGCAGGAAATAATGTACACTTTGACAAATGTTGCGAGTAGTCTCATTTTGATGGCATGGTTCGTCTGGTTGGGAAAACAGGGTTCGGAAATAACAGAGAAAAGCAAGGAGATTGGCAGGAAATTGGCCTATGTCGAACAAAATGTGGTGCACTTTGTTCCAGTGCAAAAAGCTGGAGCTTGTGATCAAAACACAAACTATAATTGTTACAAAAAATGGAATACTTTGGACTGCAAGGTTCGTTTAATTCGTTTATGTCATTTTTAATTTTTTTACCTACATGCCGAGTTTTTTATGCGACACAGATACGGCTGACGACCGTTTCGTACATACAAAGTTGTCCTCTAACCGTCCAGAATTCAATCTTTGACTTAAATCTCAGAATGTTGCTGTCGGTAAGAAAGATTTTTTAAAATTTTTAATGAATCCAAATTCCTAACAAATGTACAGTTTTAAATATTTTTTTTTAGATTATCGCTGCAATTTCAACATATCTCGTGATTATTGTACAATTTCAATCCGTGGATCGTTCATAATCATTAGCAAATAGTTGTTTGTTTAGTTAATTAGATAGCATATTCTCATGGTGTGGAAAAAACCCAGCATCATTATTTGGTCTCATTGAATAAAGAACTTTCTTTTGTGGAGAGTGATTGCTCGTGGGTCGTGCCTCACTCGGGGCGTAACGAGCTTAACCACGACCTGCCAATCTCTTTGTCCTTGCGTGGCGACGATATCGAGCTGATCTCTCAGCTCCAACCGTTCTTTGCCGTCCAACTCCCACCGCACTTCCATCCGCTCCCCTTCAATCCGCTGATCCTCTCGTCGAAATTGGCCCAATCCAATTATCTCCAAAGTCACTTTTGTCGTCGTAGAGTTGCCACCTTCTCCAATTAGAATAATTATGTCCTCAATTAGTGACACCCTTCGCAAAAACTGGAGCCATATTTCTTCCTTGCAAATACTAAAATGCATAGCAATTAAGATTAATAGAAAGCATGGGCATGAAATTAAATCCCGTCATCACCTGCACAACTGGTCGTGACTCATGTTCCTCATGAGGCAGCCATTGTTCGTTGGACGGAATGATTTCCTTCCTTGCGCGTTCCACGTTGGGTAGGCAGAAATTACGTCGTCCGACTGCTGAAATTCGTTTGGATTTCCAAACTCGTAAAAGAGGACGGAACCGATGGAACGAGGTATGCGAGTTTCGTGAGGGAGTGGCAGACTCGTGTCTTTGATGGCTTTATCGGTGGCGGAAATTGTGAGAGTGTGTCTTCCGAGAGAGAGCGGATGCGTGGTGTTGGTCCACGAGTAGATCGACTTGTCCTTTGTCCCACCTGCATTTTGGAAACTAATGTCGTGCGTGCTATGATCTGTGCCTAGATCTATTTATAGACACATCTACATACGTGATGTCCACGGGAGGGTCTCCCCGTCCAGGAGGAACTGGACTGACCCTGGTTCCTCTGCGCCCGACAAGGTCACTATAAGAATCCAACCACCTCCTGAAAATGCCCCGTTGGACCGGAAAGTGTAGGACACCTCTCTCTTGTCCAAGTCATTTTGGGGGAAGCCGAGAATTCGGTACACCATTCTCTCCTCCCGAACCCTTCCTCGACCCCCAGAAGATGAATTCTTGTCCAGCCACGCCCTCCACCCGACGCTCTGCAGAGAAGACGCGCTGCCAATGGTCGTAAAATACGCTGTCAGCATTAACCAGATTTAAATGGGGTTAAAAAAGGTACCTGTTGACCCCGTTGTACACCTCGCCCCCATCGTACTCCTCCCCAACTCGAGCAAAGTTGTGCCCCAGCTCATGGCGAAGGACCATCGCGCCAGAAGTGAGGCTTGACGTGGAGACGGCAAACTCGCCCCCAATCCCGCCGTAATACTCGTCATTGGCTACCGACAAATAGTTATAGGATGACAAACAAGCTCATGATTTCCTCTCTAGATTTGCTTCTACAAATTGTCACTTGTTGATACATTACTGTTTGATTTGTATTTGGATTAAATTTCGGTATTTATATTTACATATTGTTATCAACTAAACCTAAAATTTGCCTGTCCAACATTTCAATCATTATCATATGGTAATACACCTGAATTACACGTGTTAACCCCAGGCGCATTAGATGGTCATAGTAAAGAAAAAAAAATCGGCAAACCTATGATGATTGGGTAATCGCATGCGGAGGGTCCAAGTCGACGACACGTCGCCCGAGCAGCGTTCTTCTTGCGGACATAAATCCCGCGAGGGGCCCCAGAAGTGGGCCGATGGAGGGAAAACGTTGTGTTTTTTTGTCTCCCTGGGTAGCTGATGCCCGAGTCGGTGCTAGGCGTAAAAATTGCCCAGATGTTGAGCAGGGGGAGAAACTCGGAGAAAGTGGACGCGTAAAAGGTCTCCACCACGAGACGAGTAATATCGGCGAAGAATTTGGGGCGCTCTTTCTCCGTGTAGCTGCAGAATACAAATTATTGCGACTACAATTTTGCACAAGGATCATAAAAGAAGCATCGCGCACCCATCGCCCATAAATACCACGTCGATTCGGTTCGAAGATGGACCGTTGTCCACCAACTTGAGGATGTTGTCCTCCAAACTCTTTCCCTTTCCTCGGGACGATGCTTCATACTTCTGGTGAGCAACATAGTTCACCGAGTCGCAATATTTCCCTACCTCCTTCCGAGTGGGATGACTCTCTTCTTCAATGGCAGTGCTTTCGTGAGGAGTAAATATTTCCAAGAGTCGAGATCCCAGAAATTCGTCACTCTCAAAATCCCCGTCAATCGAATTACCACGAACTGCCGGATATGAGACTTTCTCAACATGCCAACCTACATATTAATTATGCACTGAATGGGATAGTAATGAGTGACTGATCGTTGTGGATGGTTTATTTTTCCCTTCTTACGAGATACGTTTCCAATATGTAAGCTTTTTTTCAGAATTTCCTCCGCTAGAACCAAACAATTGCTGCTATTTGTGCTGGGATCAAATTGGTAGTGAATTTTCGTATAATGTGTTTGATCATGATTATAATTTGGGGTACAGTTAGAGGTAAAAATGTGAAAAAATAGTAATACAAATGTAGAAACCCCAAGTTTTTTAGTACAAATTTGCATACTTTGAAAAACTAAAAAATATGTAAGGACAGGTATTAAAACTTAAAATTAAAACTAATACATCGACCGACGCTGCTGGAAACGGAATCAATCAAACCCTGGAATCGTCCGTGAATATATCATCCTCAGATTTGCAACTCCAATGTCACCAATGTGTCTGCCAATTAGCACTTTGCACAATAAACCAACAATTCCACATCTGTGAACCTTCTCTAAAAGCTGAATTATTTATTCGATCCATTATTTGCTAGTGTTGAATGAATGATTAATAATTTCAATTTCATGGTCCATCCGCCAAGTTGACTATGTACATATTTACATTTATAATTTACAATTATTAGCCCAAAAGTCTTGAAAAAAATGTATTCAATTCGCATGATTTATTACAATAGTTCTTTTCTGAGTAAATATAGTACAAATTCTTATTTTTGTTGTGTAATATGACGATGAGGATGACTGTAATTTACGACTGCTATTATTATCCTTCGAACGCGTGGAGAAAATTCTTGGGAAACTCTCCCGATATCGCACTAGAACAATTTAGGAAAGGAATTTAGTAGATTAATAACTGCGCAAAGTGTGAAATAGATTTTTACTCTTCGACGGATTTGATGAACCCATTCGACCCACAAATGAGCGCATGTTTCTCAGTCACCACATCTCTGTCTGGGAGATAATCGTCCAAAATGGCGTTTATCTGCATCATCGAAGGCCGACCCACGAGGCCCTTCCACGACTGAGCTGGTTGTGTCAGCACCGGAATGAAGCGAAACCAGTCGCTCTCCGACTGGCTCAAATCTGTGAACTGGTCATTCCAGATGATGTCCTCCATCGTCTTGTTCCAGAAAATCAGGACGACGTCCACACCATCGCTCAGTCCACCGTTGTGGTACTGCTCCACGACGTGGGCGATGATGCGCACCATGGGCGTAATCCCCGTCCCACCAGCGAACATGATGAGTGCCAAGGCGGCGGAAGGGTAGAGCAGGAACGTGGCGTCGAACGAGCCCAGGGGCGAACTCACTTTCACGTTTGGCACAAACTTAGCGTCCTTCGAGACATGTACTTGGTCCAACTTTTGTGTCATAGGGCCATTTTTGTAGGTCTTGATGATGAACCAGAAGATTTGCCCGTGTCCTCCGTGAATTTTGGAGGGTGCGGGCTTACCACTCATGGAATAACAGACCGGTGTGTAGGCTCGTGTCACATCTAATCAAAATCTTAGGTTGTCCAATTAACAAACAAACTATAAACTATAAGCGGATAATATTTTCCTTGCCTTCCAATTGAATTTTCATGTGATGACCGAGACGGATCCCGAAATGGACACAACGTCTGAACCGAATCCCGTATATGTTGACGTCACGAGCGACCTTTTCTCTGGAAGCAAGTACACTTTTGTAGACCACTTTTACTACAATAGCTTGTCGAAACTCACTTGTACACAATGGACGCATCGTATGAATCGTTCAGACTAGAGTTCGGTATGATGACATGACTTCGAGGCATCGGCGTGCCCAAGCGCCTCCAGACCACGCCTTCCTCTGCAAATAATGGAAATTAATTTTAGTATGGACTTCAATCCGCAGTGACCTTGATAAAGGCTCACCTTTCTTCTTCATCGTTATTTCGCATGTGTCGTAACTATCGCGAAAAACGCATTGAATGAACGCGTAGGAAATCGGGTTGTCAATTTTGTAGGAAGCCATCCAAATGTTGGTGTCGTCGAGGTACTTTTTCACCGTGAAGACGTTGTCTTCCTCGTCCAACCCCACGCACCAGTCTTCCTCCTGCGACGGCGGAACGAGAGGATTCCGCTTGAATTTCACCTAGGCATTGATTAACCACTAATTACACTCATACCAAATTTTCAGTCATAAACATCGCCGTGTAGGATAAAGTCACCTCGTAGGCGATTGCAGCCGGACTATTGAAGAACGATATCTTGGGCATCCTACGGTCTCTTCTGTCTAAAATATTAGGTCGTCATGTTTTGTTATGAAAACCCATTAATGATTTGAAATGTTTAATTCAACGAAACCGACGGATGCATCCACAACACGTTTTGGTGGGAGGTGGATCGTCCTCGAGGACAAGTTCGGAGAAGGAAGTGGCTGCAGTGGCTTCTTTAGTTCTCAGACTGTGTCCTTCCAAAATACCCTTTTCATGTCCTTTCAAAATTGAGGCAAAGTCCACGTAGGAATGAATCTGGGGAAATTTCGCAAAAAAAATCCAAATATATAAAAAAGTCTTCATGACCATAAATTCACAAAGTGATGATTTGCATACGCTGTTGAATGCTTTGGTGCCATCCTTGCCGATGTAGGCTAGCAGAGGGTCGACTCCGCCAGGATGTTGGCTTATGTACCATGAGATATCGTACACTCGGCCTTCGTAGGTTTTAAGACATTCAATTTTTCATGAAATTATGAGCCTGGCGGACCGTGTGCATTTTTAAAACGATATTTTGTGTACCTCTTATCGAAATCCAGGCATCGGTTTTGGTATTATGTTTGGCCAACTCTTGTAAAGGGATGATCTCGACTGAGATAGAAGCGTTCACGTGGAGAGTACTCATTCCATGCGGCAGGTTTTTTGTGTTTGTTAATCATTACTCATTAATTTGAAGTTCTTGGTAGACTAAAATTTACAAGGGTCGTTTCATGGTCCATGATATTAAGAATTTGGAGTGAGATAAAAGTCAATGATTATTATTATGTGCTAGAGCAGCCATGATACGAGTCAAGTGAAATGCTTCACAAGATTCGAATGACATGTTGACAACCAAGCCATGGCAATTACTCAGGTGCCCATGTTGCGAATTTAAATATAATAAGCATGTGAAGGTTATTTGGCGGAATTGTCTCCCATGAGGAGTATGCAATATGAACGCTTTATCTTATCCGGAGATTTTGCATAGCTCACTTGGACCGATAAATAAATTCTTTGGCGAAATGCATGTGAAATGTATCCGTATTTTTTAGTAAAACAGAGCTTCTGCATAATGCAATGGCGAAATTATGAATTTTACATATTTACAGTCTAGCTTTAAGTTGATATCGTGCTTAGAAGTCATTATGCTGCTCAGTAAAAATGATGCACTAATCCATCCTAAGGAGTATAACTTGTTTGATCATATGCATGAATTCCGAGCACTGGCGAGATACACATGCATGCGGACTAGTTTGTAAACGCGTAGATTTTTGGCTCGACCTTTAGCTAAATAACCAACCATTTAGCGTAAGGATAACCATCTGCTTTTGCTGCTCCGCCTATGACTTGTTCCTCTCGAACTCTGTTCCAAGTTGGCCGAATTTCTCGTGCTTCACTTCCGTGATCATGGCAGATCCCACACGAGATTCTACCCGGCTGGTTGGTGGTCGCCGTATTTCCTTCTCCTTGCACACCCAAAATTAGATTTTATGCATTCTGCGACGTGATGCTCAACGTTACGCTGCTTTTGTTAGCATTTAGTTAGTGATCCGACCCAACTGCTAAAATATCCCCATTTTTTGCTATTTAACCAAATCACCCATCCCCTTCATAAATACACATTGACGTCAGTCGCACCAACTTTTTGATTTACGGTGAGCTATATATTTTACATATTTCATTTTTAAATATTTCAGAATTATATTTATGTAACCCATCTCAATTTTCTTTGTTTTCGTTCATCTACAGAACGAAACCGAACCGAATTTTAGTTTACAGTCGCGCAAGTTAGTGTTAGTTTGATGTGTGCGAAGCAACTCGATCTGAAGAAAAAGCCTCTTCTTTCTCATCCTTCTTCCTCATACGCACCCGGAAATCGCAATATATTGCATGGGACCAACTAGGACGTAGGTACACAACTAAAGGTGGACGAGGCTGTCAGGATGGAGAGTGAGCACAACGCCCACTTGGCGAAATCGGAGGCAGAACCAGGCGTCAAAGCGAAAGATGACTCCAAAACCAAGCAAGTGCACGGCGATTCAGAGAAGCCTTCTCGCACCAATAATACAGGTATTTCATCACAACGCCATACACAAATATTTGTCATGCTGAACGGAATGGAAATAAATTTACACTCAGGGCCGAAGCAGAATTACCCCAAGAACAATGGGCAGTCCAACAAGGGACGTCCGTACAGAGAGATTTATCGCCCACCAAGTATGCAATTAATTATGGATTAATTATTGTTTATTACCCATCTTTAAATCCTTTTCCCACTTTCACAGGTCTGAGATCAAAGCAAGGACGAAATAATAACGGGAATAATAATAACCAATCCGGAAATTCTTCTCAGCAACACAAAGGCAACGGGAGCAATTCTCCTTCCTCCTCCTCCTCGACTGCGACGTCCGGACCTGTCGGGAACGGTGGTGGTGGCAACAATCCATCCGCGGCGATGAACGGTGGAATCCTGCACCACAGTCCCCACATTGGGCGGCGTCAACTTGGATATGGAAATTCCTCCCCACAACAAGGTCGGAACCACCTGTCACTTAACGCCAACGCTCGAGAATTCCAGCTGACGGCGTCTCAGCAACACCAAATTCAGAATCAGCAATTGGCCAATCTACTTGGACAGTTGGATCCAAACTTTTTAGCCTCGGCGACCACAAATCTAGGCTTGTACTCGATACAGCAGTCTAAATCTCTGGGGAACAATTTGAACGCTCTGCTTTATCAGCAGCAGCAGCAGGGGAAACAACCACCCCCATTCAACCCAGTCGCCCCACTCGGCGGTGGTGGTCTGGGAGGAGCGATAGCCTTTCTCCAACAACAACAACGCTCGCAAGCTATTTTGACCAGCAGTAATAATAACTTTTCTCTGCAACAACAACCAAATAATAATCATCTTCATCACGGTCCACCACAAATAGGAGCCGGTCAGTTCAATCGACTTTGTCAGTCCAAGTCGAGTGGCAGCATTCCCGACAACGTGTCCGTGGGTGTCGCCAAACCTCGAGTCAGATTTATCGATGTGGAGACGGATGACGAGACAAAGAGCAGGAATAATTTAGATGAGGCCACGGCAAACATGATTAGAAACACGGAAAACAGATTCTCAGACTTGAAAATTAATGGTAAACAGGGGACAACTTGCTAATAAAAACTTTCTAAATTGTTTTTTGTTCCCTCCAGGTGTCCAACGGTCTCCAGCCACAATGTCGCAAAAACCACAGCTTCAGAAAAGCAGGACGGGCTTCGTTCTAAACTTATTCTCTCCGAATCAGCCTTGTGGGCGACAGCAGCAGATGCAAGAAAATAATGGGGGAGGGGTAATAAAACGGTCGCGAAGTTTTGGCATGGCGTCGTCCTCGTCAAACCAAAAGACGTCACAGAGAGGCTCACCAGCCTCTTTCACTTCGATCCACTCAAGCTACTCTGACTTTCAAATCTCCAAATGGCCAAAAATCGTTCAAGAAACGGTCACTGCGGCTGTGACAGGTTTTGCACTATTCGTAGTTGTCAGTTGTCACAATTACTCTGCAGCAATTTGAATGATTATGCATTTGTTTCAGCCGTGGACAGGGTCGCTGCTCGACAACAAATTGAGATGGTGAACATGATATTTGATGCGATGCTGAGACATGATGAGGAGCTTTCTCCAAATGAGGAGAAGCAGATGTCCCAGACTACAGAAGACCAGAAGCAGCAAGTTGTGGAGGAAGTGAATGGACAAGAAGATAATAAACCTGCACAATCGGGCAGTGGTACTAACTCACCAGAATTCTTGGAGAATCAATCCTTATCGTCTCAAGACAATGATGGGTCAGACTTGAGCACTCCTGCAGTTCACATCTTTCTTTATTTTATACAAGTATGTAACGCACCTTTTTAAATATTGAGAAAATTATTAATTCATCCAAACAAAAATAATGCTGTACAATTTCCAGAAAGAAAAGGATCGAACTGTAATGGAGAGTTTGTTGAACACTTGTTTTGCAACATTTCAAAAGTTTTTTGGATCCAGCGGTGGTGGGCGTCGCCAGACCTCAACCCCGTCCTGGTCAGCTCAGTCCATGATATTCCTCCGCTTTCTTTCCTCCCTATATTCCAACGTAATCTTACTGCAACAATAAAATCATGCATTTCCTACAACTACCCACTTTCAGCAATTTTTGTCCATAGGTAAAAGTTTTGAGGAGACAAAAACCCGGAGGTCGAGCCCTGGATGAAATGAGTTTCAGCGTATTGGCCGTTTTATGCGACTTGTGTCTGGCCATGTTGCGGTCACAGCTTTCCAGTGATCCCGAATCGGTATGTATGTAAATACAACTATCTAATTAACCACATGAAACTAAAAGCCATTCGTCCTGTTAGATGGGTTGCCTCTTTACCGTTTTGACGAGCCAAGGACGCGATATTGAGGGCAACTTCCCACTCAAGATGAAGCAACTTTTGGCCGCTGTGCGGGACGCTTTGCTCGGAATTGGACCATATTCTCAAGGTCCGCTCTGTCCCTCGGTTCAGAAAACGCTTATGCAAATTATTGAACTACACGGCGCGGCGTGGGCGGCCCTGCCTGCCTCGGCAATTCGATATTATTACTCCACGAGTAATAACAGTGCTCCGCACAACAAAAACATTAGCAATAATTCTACCTCTCTTACTACAACCTAAACTTTTTGACTTTTCTTACTTTTCAGAACAACAAAATATTTCGAAACTAAATATGTACTCGTTTAATAATTATATGATACAAACGGAATAATTTTTATTGTGATACTTCATGTAAGAGAAAACATTGAGACTAACAGGAATTCATAAATACAGGAATAAAATCCCAATTTTTAATTTAGGGGAGAGAAACTGTAGATTCCCTAACGATTTTAATTTAACAAATTATGAGATTGTCCCGTGTACAAGAAGAAAACGTAACAATATAAGGAGTTTGCTTACAATAAGTCAGTCAATGTGAAAAAAATTAAATACGGAAATGTACAGCCAATAAGGAACACGAATGCAGGATTCATTTTAGAATAATAATTCTTCAAACAAAGATCTGAGCTCTGGTGACAGATTAGATTTGATCTTGGTCTCCAGTTTATCCCAAGCGTATTTTGCATCCACCAACTAATTATGCACAATAAACGAATCCTTGTAATATTTTATATAAAGAATGTACATAAAAATAAATTCAATTTGGAAAGTACTAACTTGTGCTGCTGAAAACTTATTCATTGTTCGAATAACTTTTCGTTTGAACCTTTCAGGGTCTGCTACAACGGCATCATCATCAGAGCTCACGCCATGAGCAACTTGTTCGATTTTAGGGATCTGTGTAACATTTTCCAAGACAAAATCCTCAGCATCTGACCATGATGAGTCCTCCGAGGAGGACGAGAACCGGTCCTTGGTCTGCATAATGTATTAAATTGAATGAATAACAATAATAGAAATAGAACTTTCGAATCTTTTCGAAACACCTTTTCCAAGTCGTCGTCGTCACTCTCGTCAGTCTCGTCCTCCCAGATATCTTGCTCGTCGCAATCTTCCTGTAATTTCAACAAGGTATATAAATTAAAACTATTCTTGGATGGAAGACATTGTGGACGGTTTTAGATTACGTACCTGAAGCTTTCGATATGGGCATCGTCTGAGCCTCTGCACTTTATCCTTCTCGGCCGGCCATTCACCTCGAAACGATGGAATATGGACAAGGATTTCGGTCTTACCCCGTTGCAAATGCTTAATCTTTATACGTTCTGATTTGGAAACCATTTCTTTCGCCGGTTTCTTGCACCTCAGTTCTTGGACGACATTCTTCAGACGATTATCTTCTTCATTTACGTTTGCCATCCCGTGAATAACATGATCCAGATACTTTTTCTCTTTCTTGGTAAGACGTGGTCGCGGGCATGACTCTGCTATCGTCATGAAGGCCTTGTCTGTTGGGAAGGGCAAAGGGCAAAACTTTTCAGCATCGGGATAAATCGGTTTTACAACCTTGGCCATAACAACTTCAATATCCGAGTCCTCGCCGACATTATAACCATTATCTTGTTCAAAGTACTTGGTTATTGAACAGTTGTCTTCGTCGTCGTCGTCGTCCGAGGCTTGGTCTTGTGGTTGTCCGAGAGTATTTCCTACCTTTCCGTCATTCACAATTTGGACTTCATTGGACCTTATGAAAAAGTTGGAGAACTTGTCGGCCTGTTGTGTCAATTTATCTGCTTTATATTTCATTTTCTTTTCTTTTGACTCCTTTCTTAGTCGCCTCTCCTCCTTCCTCTTAAGTTTAATCACTTCTTGTTGGGCCTTCTCTTCATCGGTCTTTAAGCGTCGAACTTTTTTTGCCGTCGCTTTGCCACGCCGAGCTTCCGTCTTCTTCGTCTTCTTCAACTTGGTTCGTCTATCTTTCTCTTCCTTGTTTTGTCTCTGCTCCTTTTTTTTCTTGGTTCGACGTTCCATCTTTTCTTGTTCACGACGATCTGATTCGGAGCAGCTCTCATCAGTTGACAAACCACCGTCACTTTTTGAACGTTTGACATTCTCCTGGAATTGGGAATTAAAACAATGAGCGAGCATTCCTTTTCATATTTAGATGAAGATTTGTAATACCTGATCGTCTCTAGCGATGGTTTGTCCTCCCAGCTTTCGCTTGGTAGCGAAACACGTCGAGATTTTGTCCGATAAGGTGTCATCATGTAAATTCAGTCGGCGTAACTTCATTGTGCCGCTTTGTCTCAAATTAACATTCTTTATATTCTTCTCAACGGAAGAAATGTGGACTAATCCCAAATACGAGAAAATTTCTTCTCGATTCATCATGATGTTGTGCCGTTATTTGGCCCAACAATTTTCGGCTATTAGTACAATAATTATTTATTGGGGGTAGTTTTATTTTTAAATTTTTTAACCAAGTTTACAATTTCTTGCAAGAAAACAAAAACTCGCTGTTGTCAGCAGCTCGCCTCTCACTCGACTGGTGCACAAATCACTCGCACTTCGCTTCCTCCAACTCCTCTTCAACGCATTTGCAGTTGCGCAAAGTTCCTCTTGAGCCCAACGCCCAACGCAAATCGACTCTTTGCCTTCACTATAATTCCTTCAGTTCTTCATTTTTTCAGGCCTGTGCTGTGGCTGACCGGTGGGGGTCATTTAATTGGTAGGGGTACGTGGCAACAAGTTTTACAAATTATTCTAGCAAACTGAAATTTGGTGCAAAAGGTTGCCAATGACTTCCAAGCAATTTGAAGCATCAAGATTATTTTACACTTGATCAGTCTTTATTCACGACAAAGTCGTTTTGGAGTACCAAACTTTGTAGCACGAGATTTTTTGAAGGTTTTGGAGAATCATGATGGAAGAAATGATGGGAGACATGTTGTTGCAGAAGCAGACTGACGGGGAGGAGGACGAGGATGCCATTCAGCCCCCACCGACCCCAGGAGAGAGCAAAACTCTGGAGGCCATTCATATGAAAAAGTACGAAGAGGGAGACGTCGGAAAGTTGGAAGCCATCCGTGACTTGCAGTCCGTATTTGATGAGCTTCACCAACAAAAGGTGATCTCACAACCTGTCGACCTGCTGGCCCCACCTCCTCGGGAAAAAGACGGTCCAGCCCTCACAGGGAGGAAGAGATTCCCCACCTCCGCACTCACCCCACTAATTCCTCTCAACCTCAAAAACAAGGAATTCGCCAGTGAGCAGAATCTGGCACGCGGTCAGCGACTCAAGGATCACCAAGCCATCTCTCTCCCACTCCTGCTCAAGGTTGAGAGAGAAAAACTGAAGCTCAAGAAAAAGCCACCTACTGTCACCACGGACTCGGAAGCCTTGAGCGTCGTTCTTGATGACCTCGCCGTCTGCTCTGGTCAAGAGGTGGCAATCAGCTGCGAAGACGACTCTGAGACTGATGCAATCAATCTTGGAAGTTCACAAGGAGAGGAACAAACTGATCAAGAAGGAGAAGATGCCACTTGGAAGGATGATGTCATCAAGATGAATAGATTACGCTCCAAGTCGAGTGTAATTATTTTTATGAATTATTAAATCAGATTTCGCCCACAGATTTATGAATTTTCTAAATGTCCCTAGATCAACATTTCGGCCTACACGGGGGGAGAAACGCTAATACTTCAGCACAAGCCTCCCATCTGGCCGCATCAGCAAGACCTCCACCGAATCCTCGCTCGAATGCCAACCCTGACATGTCTCATCCTTGACGGGAGTGACCTCGAGTGTTTTCGTGACCTGGGGAGCTCAGTCCCCTCACTTTGCTCCCTCTCCGTGGTCAGATGCGGTCTCAAGACTCTCGATGGAACCGCTGCACTCCCAAATTTGAGAACCTTGATAGCATCCAACAACAATTTGAAGAATGCCGTCCAATGCTCCTTCCTCGCCGAGTTGTGTCACTTGGACCTCTCCTCCAACCCCATCAAGGACATTGGACCCTTCGCCCATCTCAAGGCCTGCACCAAGTTGAGAAGTTTGAAACTCTATGCGACACCCGTCTCTCGCTCGCCCGATTTTTACTCCCACATCAAATATCTCCTGCCAAGGCTGAAGGAAGTCTTTCCCTTTTCAGACTCATACTCGCCCTACTTCAGGCCAAAGTTTATTCCGAAAGGTGTCGTTGAGGGGGACGTGGACGAGGATGATCTTGCCCGGAAAGTTATGAGACAAGAATTCCAAATCATCTATCAGAACAACTTTGAAAAACCGAAGGGCTATGAACGCGTTGTTGCCCCAAAACCAGGAGAACGTGAAAATGAGGGTGACCCAGGAGTGACGACAGACGATGGAGGAATGGTCACCGAGACGGACGACAATTTCGAACAAGCGTTGCTCAAATCCATTCGAATGGTTCAAATTGAGAACGTTTCCACGGACTCGTTTCTTACGACGGAAGCGTCGGAAGCTGACGAGATGGGTGGAGCCGGTGGTGATCATCTTCCCCACGCAGACCTGTTTTACAGTGCAGGCGAAAACTCGGATGGGTCAGAACAGTACGAGGACGCGAATTCTGACATGGCGGATAATTCCACGTAATTTATTTCCCAGCCGCAAAACAATTTCTACAAACTTTAGCCTGCAATAATTGTAACTTGAAGCGTATAAGGAACGTCTTTTATTACGATCCGGCCAAATTGTATCCATTCATTAACCCACATTTTCACTTTATTCCCTTTCTCTGGACCATTTTAATTAATGAATCTAAGATAAAATAAAAAAGGACTCGGCTATTGCAACCCTTTTTCACTCGGTGCATTGTTTTTCCATTCTTTACATATAATAAAACAACGTATGTAAGTATACAGGACTCACTAATAGTGAAGGTGATATTAATGATTTAGAGCAGTGAATGTGCTATGCTACAGGGCTCAATAATAATAAGGCCCTTATTCCAAGGGCCGTCAAGTTCACGCTTCAGAGGTTCATTAAGGGGCCATTGTTCTTTCGAGTCCATGTCGACAGAGTGGAGCCTTCACGTTGTCGAAATCAGCCTTGTCTCATTATGAATCTGGTTCTTCATGAATGCGATTAATCGTTCCGCTCTATTTTCACATTTTTCCGAAAACTTTTGGTCCAGTTTTAATTTTACTTGGAAATAAATGAGGTCCGGTGAGTGAAGAAGTTTCTGCTGCGGACAAAGCAGGTTAATGTGAGACACGCCACAAACTATTAACAAAGCCAACAAAGAGGAAATTTAAGTTTCCATGATTTGATGCAATTCAGGAGCCCAAGAAAATCGTGGTATCGCGGACAAAGGAAACAACGTTGTCTTTTGACTTTTGATATTTTCTAAAGATTTCATTTTAAAAAGAGCCCTTCAAATTACTGCACATTGGGATGCGCGAGATGCAATATGCACGAAGAGATGCGGATATTAAATATCGACCAAATTTTTTCACCCTCTGATTTGAGTTGTGATAATTTTGATCAAAATATGAAATTGAACAAGTGTACATAATAATGCTGTTAATAGATGACGAGGTTGTGAATTTCTTTGTTTGATGTGTATTTCTTGTACTACAAATGTTGTGGTGGGTCAATTCTCACCAAATCTTCATATTCTTGCTGAACTTGAACCGGTGCTGGCTGGACTGGATGGATATACACCGTGTAGAATACACGTACATATTTAAGTACATATCTACGTACGTATGTATGTTCACGAGAAGGAAAGAGATTTACAATTTAAGAACGGACAGGTATTAAATATCACCTGCTGAGTCCTTCAAAACAGCCGTCAACTGCATTCGACAGGGAATTTTCAGCCTTGGATTGGAGTCTAGTGGACTGAAAAATACATACTTTTCTTGTTTCATCAAAAATCTATGTTTTCATGTTGTTGTTGCTGCTCCTCTCCTATCGCACAATCTTCCTCAGAATTGAAACACGCCAAGAAATTGAATTCTTTTTAGCCAACCAAGATGAGCGCATATCCGACCTTCCCACCCCACCTTCATTTCAATCTTCCCATTATGCCCACAGCCATCATTCATTCCACTTAAGTTACATAAATACTCGGTTTGATGTTTGTTTATTCACTTGACAAATGGTGGTCAGATGGAATCATCAATTTTGGACTCAACTTTGATTGGAAATTAACCATGTCCAGACAGATGCAAGGGTTATAATAATCATTAGCGAAACAAGTCCAGTCCATTAGAAATCCGACCAGACACCAACTTATTATTTCCATGCAACTAAAATGAGACGAACGAAAGTGCAAAAAATGCTGCTGCTGGTACACGCGACCCATATTACGGCCTGGTTGATTTCCACCTTCTTGCTACAAGTGGTTTTTGTACATATGCATGAGGTAAAAAGAGACGCGATGCCAATCAGAAGTCAGATCTCCCAAATTTCATACTTGGATTTGCTCAATTAACTCGAGTAATTGGCACTATTTCGTACAAGCAATCACACACGGTGCACAAAATATCGACTCGTTCTGAAACATGCGATAAATTGTTGCCGATTCGCAACCCATCGTCGTCTTCAGATTCTCAAAAACATTCCATTTCTCTGTTTTGTTTTATTTTACTTTTGTACAAAAAGCATTTCTACGAAATTGAGAAATAAATTGGAGTAAATAGATTTTCTTTTTAATTACTGAAATGAATAGATTTCCATCCCGTTTTACGTGTCGGTTGGTCTTAATCATCCGTGTAAATTGGGAAAACCGTGACTCTTACAGAGATCCACTCTTACACAACGACATGTTTTGCGTTTCGGAGAGAATGAAGACGTTTTGCTGCTTCATTTCGTCACGGCACCCTAAAATGTATTTCACGTATTTGTGCAGCCTACGTACATAGATACGTAGATACGTGGTGCAGTCTCATACTTTGCATGGATTGCACTTTGAAAGAGTAGTTTGGTGTGAAAAGTGAGCAAGGGACTAAAAAACAGAGAATTTGTGAATAAGAAATAGTTTTCACTTCTCGATTTGGTTATTGTTCGAGTGGTGGCAAAAAGCAATTTTATGTTCTACGGAAAAGTGACATTTCTGTTCGCTCTGCTTCATTGAACTTGTGTCGGCTCTCTCTCCATACAAAATCCACACGTTTAATCGCTCGTCTCAAAATCATGGCCCGAGTTTACATCCATTTATAATACATCTCATTCTGTGTATACATGTACATATGTAACGTTACTTATGTATGGTGCCCCACTGCTCTGACGGGCATAATATTTAATTCCATTTCTCAGAAACGGTGTAAATTGCTCCCATCTTTCTACCGCTTTTTGGTTAAAAAATGTCGGCCGAAATGGGATTAAGTATTTGCAGGATTATGGGTGGATTATTTACCAAATTGGTATAAAATCGGGACGGGTTTTAATTGAGTGTACGTATTTCATACAATTTCAGCCTAGCAGTTGGTGGTGTGGTGTGGATGGTATTATTTATTTATAAAGAAGAAAAGAGCCATAAGTTAAAGGTTCTCAATCCAATAAATATAACGGGTTCGCCGGAATTTTCTTATTGCTTTGTTGCCTTTATTTACTTGTCCCATCATAACATGCTACATAGTCCATCTCCTGTGAGATGAGCGATATGGATGGAACTTTTTTTAACCGAATTTATGATCCGTGAGTCAAAATGTCGATAAGCTTTACTTACGAAAGGAGTGTTGATTGGACGGAGCATGTCGTACTGTCACCATCAATAAACCATTATTTATTGCATTGCTGCAGAAATGACCTTATTCAGATGAGATGGAATGATGCTATAAAGTATAAAATGTGCAATAACAATATAAAACTTTTATTGTGTTGTTTGTGCCTCTCTTTTCCCCCCAACTTAAGACAATCAACAGTTTCTTGTTCATGCATATCAACGTATATATTTAGCGCTGTAGAAATTTTCATTGAACAAAATTTTGCTTGGATTCAAGTACTAATTTTGGACCAAGAAAATAAGAAGAGAAATCACACAAGTTTTGTAAAAACAAGGCAAACTTTTGCCACTCCTAAAACCAAACGACGACACATGCATTGTTTAAAAGTTCATTTTAAACTTGTGATTTTAAACTTTCTTGGTCTTATTATTATTCAGTGTCACTCAATGTCAAGTCGGCAAATGTGGCAGACACAATCGTAGATACGCATTCATGTTTTTGGGACAGACAGCAGTGCAGCAGGAGCTGTTGGTGGACAATGAATTCCCATTAAACTCTGGCTTCCAAGAGACACGAGCAGTGAATGCACATAGCAGCGCTTCTTGGCTTTTAGTTAAGAAAGAAGAAGCAATAAAACTGAAATGCTTGCATACTTTTTCTGTCTCATTAAGTGAGAAAGAAGGCGGAGGAAGGACTTATTATTCTGTTCTTAAAGGGGCCATCCAGCCAGCGACAGATGGCTCAGTTTTTTAATGCACGCTTACAAAAGTTTACAAATAGCAGTGCTAAAAATATATCAAATCAATATGTACAAAAAAATCAGATATATATTTTTCCAAATAAATAATTCGCAAATCGGACAGTATCATTGTTGATGCTATTGTTGTGGCATTGTTCTCGATTGGAAAGCAATTGGGGACATAGAAAATCAAGTACAATGAGACTGCCTCTGCACGTTAAAAAGGCCTTGTTTATGTCTTCTCCTCGTATTTATATGACCTATGTGGAAGGGGGTACCTACTTATGCTACATCGAGGCATATATTTATATGGTCATAGCCACGAATGGAGGAATAGCACAACAACAACGCTCCGACTTAATGACTCTTGTGATGTGCTGGCTGGGCAGGCATACATATTTACCATTTGCAAGACAATAAGGGCTCCTCAACTTTAGAGACGTCGACTTGAATCGCAGTGCTTTTGGACGATGTGCACTTTTGTGTGCGTGTCCTTTCTCTGAGACTGACTGACTGATGATGATGATCATTCTCGTCGTAATAATTTTTCTCCTCCATGTTTATGAACGTGCCTATAATGTGTGTCCCTTCATATGTACATACATAGTCCCATATACATAAAGCTTTGCCTATTATTCCCATTATTCACCCCCTTGCAACTTTTCATACTTTTAAACTGGAGTCTTTTCCTCCTTCGTGCGTTGACTTTTTGGGTAAATAATGAATTTCTAAAGATTTGACAACGACATGACTTTTAATTTTTTCACTATTTTCTTTTTCTGGGGAAAAAGTTGAGTAAATAAATCGATTCATCTTCATTTCACAATTTCATTATTGGTCACATTTTATTTCCTGCCACACCATTTTTAATGAATGAAGTAAGAATGAATAAGTGTCAAGGTTGACAGATTGCTCGAATATTTGTAGAATCAAATCCATCATTTATTGGTTAGCTCATGATTTTATCGGATCCCTTAATTGCAACACTTTTTTGTAAAAAAATTTTTTCGCAAAAAAATCGGATTTCAGAGCATGTTTTCCGGAAGTCTGCTACATAAGTGAGTGAGTACCCACGACGTGTTTTTGGTGAGGAGGATGCATATAATAATCAGGCTTCATTTTTTGAGGAAGGCTGAGAGAGAGAGGTCAGTGGAGAGTGAATAAGTTAATTCGATCGGATGGGTCAGGAATAAGAATGAAGAGTGAATAATATAACAACGCTCCTTTGTGACGGTCCTTTGTAAACAAAGCCGATGTCTTTGGTTGAATGAATTCCTCTCCGTCTTTCAACCCGGCCTTACACACCAGCCAAGTAATAATAAGTAATAAAAGAGTGTGGAGAAT